CTCATATGCAAACAAACACTGTCTGCTGTAACAGAGGGCAAGGGACCCAAGGACAGTCCACAGTGGGTTTTTTTTTTTCCTTCTAATATATCATATAACCTCCTTGTCCTATTTGGTTAGTCATCATTCAGGTTTCCTTCTGCCTACACTTCTAAATCAGAACGTAACATCTGTAGTAAGAGAATGTGTTTTTGTTTTTCATTAATTGTTTTCACTCCAGAGCATAGAACAATACATGACACATAGAGAAAAATCAATAAATACTGTGTTTCATAACTGCTGCCTTCATAGTGTCCCTTATGGTGCTCAACTTCAAATATAATAAATATTTTAGATTACTTTCTGGACCAGTGTTTTGCTCATTATCTAATAAATCTATGCTGACTTACTAATTGAAGAGGACTAATACATGTAAAAAAAACCTGTTATAACACAAATGACTATATTAGTGATTCTAAAGTATATGATGGTGTATTATCAAACAGATCTTATTTTTTAGCTTTTAAATGATTCCAAATAAACCCTTACAGACTTCACTGAGAAGGAAGGCTGCTTTAGAAACAGCTCTTCTTTCAGCATTATATTTTCTTTCTTCCAGCGTTGCTAATTAATTGTTTTCATCAACTTGTGTGGCTATGAAAATAGCTGATGCTGATTAAATGCAGCTCTTTCCTTTGTGATTCCAGTGGCTTATGAGTCCACTGCACAGCCTTCTTGGCTGCATTACACTGGGGTGGGGGGAGTGGGACAGAAATGGACCCTTTCAGAAAAGGTACATGGTTGTGTGTTATGGATATGAAATGACTGTGATCATATTTGCTAACTGAAGTTATAGAAATTAAAAAAATTATCACATGTAATTTTTCTATTGTGATGTTGTGGATTGAACATAGCACCTCCTACATGGCAGGCAAGCCCTCTAAAGGGCTATATGTAGTATTCAGGTGATGGGAAACATTGACTTCAGGCAGAGAAACAGGAGTGACAAATAGAGTTTGAGTCCTGAATGTTGAATGTGACTGTATCCACACATAAATAAAATCAGCTTTATCAAAGAGTAAGCTTTGCAACCCAACCACAGATCAGAAGCATACACACAGAGAGGTAACTAAGTGGTCACCACACTGATCACCTGTTGATAAGCTTATTTCTGTATGATGCAAGTCAGTTTTGCAAAAAAGAGAGGATGTGGGACAGAGATTTTTTTTTAAATTGAGAACATATAGTGAAATTAATTTCAGATATGTGAAAAGGTGATGACCAGTGAAATGTAGCACTACTAACAATTTCATGTTGAAGATAATGAATTTGTGTTTCAGTAATTCCATCTTGGGCTATAAGCCCTTGATTTTTCAGGCACTGAGAGACAGTAATGCATAATTTCACAGAAGATTACAAATTTTCTGAAAAAGTGGAGCTCAAAGAGGTCCAGAGGAGTTAGTGTATTGGTAGAAGGGTTTTGAAATAGTGCGTAGAACCAAACACACATGGAGAAAACTAACCAAGGGAAAAGGTTGACAGAATAGTGCACGTAGGGCCAGGGTTAGAGAAGTTAATGAGCTCATAGAATTTTTACATTGGAAAGAGATGAGTAAGGTAGGGCAGTGAGTTTGTGTGGTGAATGAGAGACTCTCATGAGAAATTTTTGAGAATAACCCATTAAGGGTTGTGATGAGAACAAAAACTTTAATATATCAAATTATGCTATACTGGGTTAAACTGCCTTATGCAAAATATAAATATCATGCCTTAGTAAGATATTTTTGAGGTGAAAGTTTTAAAGGTTAAGACAAAGACCCTACCAGTTGAATGGTTAGTTAAGGCAGCATGGAGGAGAAGGTGCTGGGTGTTAGGGAGACAAAGACACTGGAGTGCGATGCTAGAAGAAGATTTTTCACATGAGCACTGGTGGAGTAGGAAGTTCTAGGTCCAAACAATGAACTAAAAGGATTAATGGGAGAACATGGGCAACATGAGAAAAATGAAAATTGAACTTTAATGAAGCCCAAGTAACTGGAAAGGTTTAAGGAGAATAACATGAGTACTATGATTCTTAGTCTTCAAAGAAAAATCTGCAAATGTATTGTCCTAGAGTTTCTTTTGTACTCACAAGTTTGCTAATACTATAAAAATTAAGTGATAACTAAGGAGGAAATAATTTCATACAATCATGAATATCTGCATTTTATAAACAATAGTGTGAGGTATAAATGCAGTTATCTTATCATAAGAAAACATATTGAATTTGAATCTTTATTGTTCTTTAATAAAATTCTGGATTTAATTTAAATTATATAATTATTGATTTTACCATACCAACTTGAACTATACAAGTTTTTGTAAACTAAAAAATGATAAACATTGCAATGGGTTCTGATATCTGCTTCAACCAAGAATTACTGATTATAAATTAACCATAAGCCTATAAAAATAATTTCTATTCTGACAAATATCCACATTATCTATTCTGTGGGATTCCTGTTCCATAGGTTTGCTAATGTACCACAAACTGTTCTTCACTTTTCTATTTTTTTCTTTAGATTTGAGGGGTATAAGCTTATTCAGCAACTTTTAAAGTTAACATTTAAAATTTTTATTTTAAAAACGAACATCTAGAATTTATACATACTTTCAATGTATCAAAGTTGCTGGCAGAATGAGGCCAGGTTCTGTCTCTTGACAGGTGTTTCCTGGGGAAATTGAGCTACAAATCAGCAGCATTAAGAGAATTTACTTTCTGTTTTTCACAGATGCTTTTCAAAATCATCATTTTTTCGCTTTTTACCTTAAAATCTTTAAATACCAGATTACCTGTTGAGTAATTTTATTAATCTAGTTCCAGTGTTTTGCACTGATCATACTGACGATCAGTGTACCTATGACCACCATTCCCATATCTTAACACATTCAACCTGATACTGCAATTGGGTAAGTATAACATCTACTTATTTGTTTCTTGAAAGTTATAAATGTCTGTCATTCTAGGATACTTATTTAGGTCAAACACAGGACACAGGATGAGGGAAATGATGGCTTGGCTAGAAAGCAATTTGTAAAGTTAGGAATGGCTTAATTTTGTAAATAATAGTATAACTATCTTTTTCTTTTTGTTTCTTTCTTATTTCCTGGAATTTTCATTTTGTTTTATTTTACTAACTTTCTAACCTCTTTTATCAAATTAAATCACTGAATATTTCATAATTTTCTTAATATTTTGAAGTATTCGATTAAAAAGTGTGAATGCTATTCAGGTATTTTAGATGTTGAACAAAACTTTTGTTCCACAAGAGTTGTGATAATTTGTGTATTACCTTGATGTATATTTGAATGAGGTTCATTTTCCCTTCCTGTACATTATCAAACTTGGACAATTATATTTAATTTGTCAATATTTATTCTTTTAACATGACAATGACATTTCATTGTATTTTTAGACCTCTTTGATCAATAGTAAAATAAAGATCTTTTCATGGGTTTAATTCTAATGAAATTCTTTTCCATTATTATCACAAGGATATGTTTTTGTAGTTTAAATGTTTTGATGTTTGTTTTTCTAAAGTTATAGTTGCTTACTTGTGTTTTGTCTCCATACTTTATTGTGTGCTGATTTTTATTAACATTTTGGTTTGTCTGAAGTTTATGTACAAGATATAAAATTATTGCTGAGTCTGTGTACTTGCCCATCTTAACCAGTTTTCCATCTTATTCTGTCACTATGCTTAATTTGTTTTCTAGATATTTTTATTCATGCAAAAATGCTCACAAAAATACTTGATAAGCAGAATTCTTATACAAAGACTATGCCCTTTACCAACACATCTGCTGGTGTACATATAAATTGGACAAGGACTATTAGGAAACAATTTAACAAAATATAAATATCTCTAATTTTATTGTAGTCCTTAATTTAGGAAAGTTATTCAGGAAATAATTGTAAACATCGAATAGATTTATATATAAAATATTTTGTTATTCAATAGTTTAATATTGACAACTTCACCTTTAGGAAGATTTTAGTATGTTCTGCAAAATTAAATAAAATATAAAGCAATCCAAACGTTTCAAATCTCTCTACACACAGTCCTGCAAAAACATGTACAACTGTTCACTTGCATGTCAAGAACATATGTTATCAGTAATTCAATATTCTAGTTTACAGATGTGAGAATTTATAACTCTTTTACTTATAATCAACACCATTAAGAATCTTTGTATTTTCTTTTGTGTATCCAATAGGTTTATTAGGAAAAGGCAGTAATAAAACACATGTAGTACATAAACTTAATTGTTTAATATATATGAAGGGTAAATTATTCAAAATGTAAAGCAAATATTTAGCATGTTTTATTTTATAAATATGGACAACTTTCTGCTCATAATCACTTGTTATTTTAAGAAATCAACTTATCATTTATTTTTCCCATAGGTGAACATTGTTCCCTTATTTAAATTTTTATGTATTTCTAAATTAAAATTTCATGTCATATTTTGTAATTGTCTATTTTTGCCTTGGTTTTTTTTTGATGGCTCATTAGTCCTAGTAATAGAGATTGCATGACTATTTTTGTTGTGTGTGCATGTTAAGTAAATTTCACTTGCTTAGATACTAAACTAGTTAGGACAGCTGATTGAAAGGTGTATGCTTATATTCAAATGAAGACATTACCAAACTTCTGAGATAAATTCATTTTCTTTTTATAATAATACATTCGACTAAGAATGTATTTTTCAGTAATAAACTGTACTGTATTTTACATAACGTGACTTTAAATTTTCATTTATAATGTGGTTATATTTATGTGTTACTGACGAGTTATTATGCACCGAAAAATAATTAAGATCTAAACATTTAAGTAATCCACTAAATTCATGCTTTTTGTAGATGAAAAGAAAGGTATTGACCTTATTGATGGAGCACAAAATAATTCTTTTAAATATGGAAGACCACAAAATTCACAGGGTGACTGACACATTCATTTCCTGTTGTTTTACTCCTCTAACCTCACAGCTGTTGCTTGAGCACCAAAACTGGTACATTATTCACGGGTCTCTTCCTTGTACTTTATTGTAGTGATGTTAGAGAACAAATAGAAAAGTTATCAAAAATTGAGCTGAAGGCTCATATTTTCCAAATTTCTTCAGAATGAGAATGCCTAAAAACAGACCAAATGAAGGCATAGTACAGGAGCAAGAAATAACTTACACAGATGTGAAAATTTCCAAAAATCAACAGAAGCAAAGGGTATTCAAGAGAGAACAGAATCCTGTATTATCAAGTGAACAGGAGGTTAACTATGTTGAAATGAAGTTTCACAGAACATCTCACAACAGAGCACAGCTTGGTGGACAAAAAAGAAAAGGTACAGTACCATAAATATTTATTTAATAGGAGATACTGATTATTGAGTTTAGAAGATTGTAACTCTCAAAACCAATATAAAATTTTAGCAAAACTCTAATTATCTAACTTTTTAACACATTTCTTGACTCCTTCAGGATACTTCAATAGATGTAAGATTAGCTCTTAGTATATGTAATTTCCTCTAAAATATTATTGACCTATATTCCAGCAGAAGTGTATTACTTGTAAGAATTACAACTTTAATTGTCATGAACTTATATGAGTTGCTTCTTTCCATGCTATTTTAAAAATATTGATGCTAGATTTCAATTATGTTTAGTTTAATCCAGTCCCTTAAACAGTTATTGAACTTTTATATGGACTTCCCATGAAATCTTTTACTTGGACTTGCCATGAAATCAAAGGTTGAAGACAAAAACTAGATTATTGTCACAGGAAAAAGATAACAGAACAATGATTTTAAAAACATTTTCAGATACAACTCATATAGTTTCATAATAAGGAGATAACGCAGGAAGATGTAAGAAGTTAAATGTTACAGCATTTTAACAAAGTTCTTAGTTTAAGTGATTTACTATTAGTTTTATCCACCATTACAGAAACATATACTAAAGATTATGATTAATTTTATAAAGTCGAATAACACATAGCTTTCCAATGTCTCCTGGTATTTCAGAGGAAGATGTCAATCATGAAATTGAATGTAAGAAGTGGGAAAGACAGATGTCAATAAGTAAGATGCAGGAGATGATAGAGGAGACATCTATCATAAAGTCATTGTCAGCGTGTATAGTGAATGATGCAAGACCAGAGCTGTGACTCCGTGGTCAGCAAGAGGTACAAAATGAAATATGGCAAATTAGATGAATCCAGTAAAAGGGCAAAAGGAAAGTTATCTCTTCAAATTTAGCCCATTTCTCATTATTCGCTCTGGTGTTCTCCTTTGCTTTCCAATTTCTAGTCTGATAATAAAATCAGAATTTTGAAAACACAAAGCTTTATCATACCCAAGAATATTCATCGTTCTGAACTCTCTGGGTGGAACAGCCCTTATGCTCTCCTCCTTCTCAAAGAAAATGACTCACCTTTTTTCTTCAAACATCAAAGCAATGTCAATTTTTTAGAGAAACACTAAGAGCTCCCCTCTGTCTATAAGAAAAATATTTGCATTTTTGCTAAAATTAATGACTTTTTATAAGAGAAAGAAAAGAGCATCTGTTGCTTCTCCCTTTACTCATATGAGTGCTTTTTAAAACAAGTTAATATTTTATTTTCACGATGTGCTATTATTAGCAAGAAATTTTTTCTTAAGTGAACTGGACTCTTATTTTTTTTTTAGTAGAGAGAATGTGTCATGATTTTCAAGGTTAAAGTTTTTTAGGTCTTTGAGTAAAGGATGCTCTAAATTGTTGGTGTGGGTAGGTTGAGCAAGAGACCTTATTGCTCAAGCTGCACCCGGGAGAAAGGAGTGAAGGGAGAACTGACGTGAAGGGAATTTGAGGAGCAAGAACTGCATTCAGTGCAGCTGAGACACTACTGACTTCAGGATGAAGCTCTGAGGAATGAGGCAATGAAGGTTTCCCTCTGACAGTGCGGCATCTTATTTGCTGATTTCTAGGAAAGAGAAACTCAAGCATTGATTCCCTTTCTTTTCTTTTTAGGTGCCCCATCAACAGCATGGAAGAGGATAGCTGGCATTTTAGCATTCGTTTGCATAGTTTTAATTACAGTAATTGGTACCTTGCTTTCAAACTGTAAGTAATCAAGAAAATAACATGCTCTTACTACAGTGCATACATTAGCAGTATGATGTTTGCATTTATGTAGAATGGTTTGTCATTAAGAATGAATTGTCTTCATAGTTATGTTATGTCTTCACATTGTCTTCATAGTTATGTTACAGTCCTAATTAGTGTCATAATTTTTGTCACAGTGTTTTCTAGCAGAGAAGATCAAAGCAGAAACTTCACCCTTTTTCCTACTCTGTCTTCTAAAAGTAATGGTGAGTTTTAATTTTTCCACTTCCAGTACATTTGATTATTAGAGCAAAATATTATATCTTCTTCAGATCCACAGCTATAATTAAGTCTGACAGATAACTATGGTGTTATCATATGGTCAGTTCTTACCAGTGAAATATTCACTTGGGTAAAATAAGAAAAGTGATTCAGGACAATATGAAATATCTTAACAAACTTTAAATATAATGCTAATTCTGTTAAGTGTGATTTTGTTAAAATAAGGAGAAAAATGAGATTTAAATATATTGAATTTCAATATAAACCATTCAAGTTTCTGTCGTTTTGATATCTCTTGCTAAATCTAAAAATCATTTGAATAGGTTTTAATTATAGAGAAATAAAATTAAGTACTAGTGTATTACTCCTACATAATACACAGATAATGCCAAGTATGGTCAGGCTTTGTACAAAACATGCTTCTTATAAGTTCACATCTTCCTACAAATGTTTAAATATTTTAATCAAAGAAATGAACACTGTACACCAGACTTTCATATAAATATATGTGAACATGTCATTTGTAGCTGAATTTTAAGCATTAAAAATGTCTATGATCTGATGAATGACTGGCTAAATGTTTTTAATTCTATAATGGTATTATCTGGCAAGAGCTTGCTTCCTGACACTCCTGGAAGACAATAGGATTGTTGGTGTATTTTAAGAGAAAAAGTTTTGTTGTATAGCAAGTCAGGAAAGAACCTATGTGCCATAAACTCAAATCTGCTCTTGCAGATCAGTTGGTGGTCAGAAATATGTGGAAAGTGAAGGCAGAGGTTGCTGTGGAATGGATGGCAGCCACTTCAACTTGTAGGTTTATTTTTGAGGGTGAGTTATGCTTTGCACAGTGGGTGTACATATCTCTGACACGGAGGTCTGCCTTCTTGTGCTCATTTTTATTCTTAAAAGCCAATTCCAAACCCAAAGAATCATTAAGGAAAGGGTTGGAAGCTTTGGCTGGAAGATAACTTAAAAACTTTTTTATGTAAAAAATATGTCTGCTTATGTCTAAGTCTTAGTGGATTTTAATGGTTGTTAGTAAGCACTGCACTGTGTTACAAACATATAAAATTGGTAATGGTTTTAATAACAGTTACTCATCGTACAGACTATCCCTTTAATGTATTTATGTTTCCTAGGATGTTCCAGTGGTCTTTGCTCACACAACTGGATTGGGTATGGAAATAGCTACTATCATTTTTCCAGTGAAGCCAAAACCTGGGAAGAAAGCCAATCCACCTGTGCAAAGCTGAATTCTCACCTTCTGAAAGTAGACTCTGAAGAAGACCTGGTAGGTCACATCCTCCCACCTTTGCATTATATTGCATCTTATTTGATTTGGAAGTAATGATAAACATCATTGAAAAACATCATTTTACAGAAAACTAAATAGTGGGGGTTTTTTTTACTTAATTTTCTAAGGAAGAAAAGAAAGAAACTATACCATTATACTATTTATTGTTACAAAAGTATCAAGAGATAATATCTTGAAGTTGGGCCTGTAAATATACTGAGTGGCTATGTGTGAGAACTTCGAAGAGCTTTTCAACACTAATCTTTGAGTCTAGGAAGGAGCAGATCATGATACACACACAGTTACATTTGTGAATGTTTTCTACCAATAGAAACTGTCTTCAGTGATTGAAATGACAGGATGGATAGCTTTCAACATCAATGAAAACAATGGATCCTGGGTGGGGAAAAATGTCTTCCAATTGAATGACAACTTGTAAGTACAATGTTTAGACAAACAGGCTTTCTTTACAATAGTGGCATGAGTGTGTGTGTGTGTGTGTATGTGTGTGTGTGTGTGTGATTTGTGAAAGAGACAGAAATAATACCACTAGGAAAAAAAACCAATAAACAGAAAATAACTGTTAAAAATTTGCCAACTCTTTCTAAAAAGTCTCACTTAGACCATATACATGTTTAATCAACTAGACCTTTTGAACTAAACTTTGGAGAAATTGGTACATAGTTCAGCTAAATTGAGAAATCCAAAGATCTTAAAATAGTAGTGTGTGTGTGTGTGTGTGTGTGTGTGTGTGTGTCTGAAATACACATAAACAACACTACCAAAAAAAAAAAGAAAGAAAGAAAACCACTATACAGAAAATAACTGGTAAAAATCTGCTGTCTTTCTAAAAAAAATCTCACCTTAGAACATTTACATGTTTAATGAATTAGACCTTTCACACTAGACTTTGGAGAAAATGGTACACAGTTTAGCTAAATTGGGAAATCCAAAGACCTCTGTTATGTCATTGGTTTCTTATTTGATTCATAATTCTACTTACAACAACAGAAAAGGATTAGCAAATGCCCAACATTTTCTGTGAAGGTTATTGTTTTAAAATTTAAGACATCAATATTTCTGTTTTTTTTCTATATTTCTGATATTTGACATGTTCTTATACCTGTTTGTTGTACTTGTTATATTATTTTGTTGGCTTATGCTGATACAACCAGTTTTCAGCTTATTATAAAATTATTGTTTGCAGAGATTACACCTTGCTTTTTTATTAAGTTACTATATTATTGCTTTCACACAGACTTTTTGTTTTGGAAGGCAAGAACCAGAGTTGTGCTTATGTGAATGGAAAGTCTCTGTATACTGAAGACTGTTCATCTAGAAAACTTTTTATCTGTGAGTTCAATATATAGCAAAAATTTGCTTTATGCTAGCCTGTAGTTATTAAAAAGTAGCTGTTAATTACAAGATTCATTGTTTATTTGATGATATAATTTTTAATTAAATTAGTTCTGAATATTTTTACTACATTTAGATTTTTTTTTCCATTGAGAGTTTTTGAATTAAAGTTTTAACAGTATAAATTGTATTGGAAACAAAAGGAATTTCCCAATTACCAGTCTTCCTGGGATAATTTTCCTCCATATCACAATCCAAGTTGATATTAAATCATTAATCAAAGTTGTCCAATACTAACTGAGCACTGAACATATTTGCAAAGTCCAAAGCATAAGAAGAAAATAAAAGTTTCTGCATCATTTAGGTCTTTGGTTAAGGAGACAGCCACTGGTTCTGCAGCTGGGACTGTAACTGAATTCCAGAGCCCCTGCTACTCTTAAGCATCTGTCACCTGGCAGTTAGGACCACAGAGGCACTTCCTGTGTCCAGCATCAGTTCATGTTTGGTATCAGATGGAAACTTTTTGAGATATTCACAGACTTAATGAACTTCTCAGGCTCTTTTTCTTCACTTAAGGAAAAGAGGGCAAGTTTTAAAGACACACAAAAAATAATACATGTAATTCACAAACAGAAAGTTAGGGAACTTGGAAACTAACCTCAGTGGTGAGGCAATGTCATGATTTCAGAGTAACAACTATGAATGTCTTCAATAATTGAAAAGCCATGAAGTTATGTGAGCTTATATTGAATCTTCATGGAAAAATTAAAATGATAAAAGACAAATAAAATTAAATTATAAAAAATAAAATTTCTAATATTTTGTGTTTGAAAAAAACAGTAACTAAAACTTTTCCTGATATAGTTTTAAAAATATAATTCCTATAAAACTATAAGCTGCCTAGGAAGTCTAAAGGAAAAGCTAAGTACATTACTGTCACTGTACAGAAGTTCAAAAGTGGAGAATATATAGTCGTGACATTGAAAAAATGAGCATATATAATGGTAAAATAATGTAACTCATTGTTTGCTTGTCCGAAATGATTCATATGGACTAGCAGTGGATCTTTAAGGGTTGTAGTAGAAATAAGCTTTAAAAATCCAATGAAGTCATTTAACTTCCGGTCCACTGGGCAAAGGGTGAATAAGTTGTCACTAACCATTTTAACAAGAACAGAAGCCTGAAAAAAAGGTTAACCAACATCTCTCCTTGAAACCTTCAAGGAAGTGGGCTCACAAAGCCAACCAAAACCATAGACAGAGATGTGGGCACTGACAATTCTATCACACTGGAGGAGAAGCCTCAGGGTAGATATCATGACTGCAACTAACAGAAGGATTATGTTTCCCCCAAATCCATAGTTGGACATGTTGACCACAATGTCAAGGTGAATAGAGAATTCAAAGGACTCAGAATTTTTTGTTGTTGTTACTGAGGATAGAAAGAAAAGTTAGCCATTTGCAGAGAGAAAAAATAACAGTCTCAAAAGTCAGTCAGAAACTGGCACCCTGTTCTCAGATTAAATCCTGCAGGAATGTAAGGAATGGACTTTGGCTTTTGAAAAACCAACTAGTTTATGTCAATCTGAGCTGTGGAGTAGAAAGACAAACTATAAATGCCACATTGCTATGTATTTGATGTGAATAAGCTCAAGAGTGAAACTCAGGGCAGTATATTCTTAATGATGGTCCAGATTTCATACATTTACCTTGCAGAGCCTTACTTGTTTTTACTGTGGTTCCTGGAGAAGATAAATCATGATTTTTCTGGAATGGAGTTAAATTCAGTAGTTTTTTTTTTTTTTTATTTAAGGAGAAAAGAAAAAAAAGTGAAAGGGTACAAGTTATACAGATTTACAGAAGAAAAAAATGAACAGTAGGAAATCACTAGTTAATGGATTACATATTGCCATCTTAGAAATAATTGTTCAAGTCACAAAATTAAAGCTTGTAGAGTGGACATTCCAACAATGATACTGCAAACAGTTCTGTTCAATGATCCAATACAACTCTGTGATATCATTTTCTATCTTATACACTTAAATATACATGCAGTTATATAGTTTAGAGCACTTTCTTTTCCTCTCTTTTGTACAATGACTATTACACATTTTGGGTTTCATTGCTCCCACGGTTCTTATTGCTTTTTTGGAAGAGAATAAAACCAAATGAGACATAACAGAACAGAATCGGTCAAGTCAAAAGGGTGGACATAATAGATAATATAAAAACATAATACAAGGTGATCAACAATGGTTACCATAATGCCTCCCGCTATCTCTAATAGAATTGCCTATATCATTAGTTATAATACAATTGAACAAAATAGTAAAGAACAAAACCGACAAAACCAAACATTGGAGACATTGTAGGTCTTCAAAAGTAGATAAAAGTCAACGAGAATGGGCGTTATAATGAATCTCATTATCTTCTCAGCTGATGCCTAAACTTTCGAACCTGATACTATCCATCAAAACAGAATAGGGGAACATCAGTCAAAAACAAGATGGTGAGAGTAATACAGGGCTTCAAATCGAGATAATAGAAAGTCAAAGTGGGTTACTATATTATATCCTGCTATTTTTTCCCTTTAATTAAACAGATAAAAATAAAAAAGTAAATAATGGAGTGGAGATTGAGAAAAAAGAGGGCATAACAGCAAAACAGCGCAGATCAAAACATAACCATTTAAGCAGAATAGTGTTTTACCACCAGATAATTTCGACCTAAAAGTAGTTACCATATTGATTCTTTCCTTGAAGTCCTTGAGTACAACTTCGTATACTGTAGCATTAAGTATATCAAAACAATGTAAAACCATTTAAGAGAATGACAGCATTACAGAGTATTTAGAATCGACTAACAGAAAATGAACAATGGTTTCTGTATAATCTCCTTGTCTTTAAAAGGTTTTTGCTTATACTATCGTACATAATAAAATCCAATAAGATACAACCTGTTTAGACCATTGGAGACAGAAGAACAAAAGCTAGATGAGACTTCAAAACAAGATGATACTAAATCAGTATTACCTATTAAGATGTCATTTTCTCTAAAATAGCTGTTCCTATCATCCAATCTTCTCTGTCTCATTTCTGTTGAGCTCTTTTTCTGTCAGTAGTTGTCAGTTTGTCTTCTTCATTTTGTTCTCTGCTCCATTCGTTGTGGCCTCCCTGCCACTATTTCTGGGTTCTTTGTATTTTTCTTTTTTTAGAATATCCTGAAATACTTTCTGTAGGGTTGAATTGGTGGTTGCAAATTCCCCCAGTTCCTCTTTATCCTGAAAGCACCTTGTTTTTCCATCAATTTCCAGGGACAGTTGTGCAGGATATCTCAATCTTGACTGGAGATTATTATCTTTCAAAGCTTGAATTATTTCCCCCCATGCTAAATTCAGTAGTTTGAAAAGTGTTGAGTATGCATTCTGTTTTTTTTTTTAACAAGTTGCCATCTACAGAAAGTATTTTAATAGAATCCGAATGAAAGTTTAGCAAAGCATAACCAACTTGGCAAAGAACTAAGCCTAAACTCCAGTCTGTAGCTTTCTTCCATATAAGAAAAGAAAGACACCAAATTCTAGGACCCTGTGACTTTCCTACCTCACGTGTGAGGGTTGGAAGCTTTGAGAAGTCCTAGTGCTGGTAACATCCTATTGAAAGACTGACAGCTAATTGTAGGACCATGAAGTGTTTCTCTTTTTCTCCCTGTACTTTATTTGCAGGTCAGTAAGGCTCTGGCATAATACAGCAGAATACAACTGAAAAATTTACACATATCAGCCCATCAAATCTCATGCATTCATCAACCCATATTTATTAAACTTCACGATAAATCTACAGATACCAATGGATACCAAAGCAACAACCACAGAGAAAAAATAAACCTCCAAAACAACTCTAGAGAAGAGTAAACACAGTCTAAATCTTCACCATATAAGCAAAACACTTATATTTAAGGTTTATGTTCCGTGATTCTATTGTATCTTCCATCATCTTGAGTTAAATTACATGCTTTAAATAACAAAGAGCTTTTAAGAGCTTATTCACATCAATAAAAATCCCAAATCTACTACTGACCCAGGAAACTCAAGAGATCAAGTAGCAAAATTAAAACAAACAACAAAAAACTTTATACCTCGTTATATCATATTCAAGCTGTAGAATCTGAAAGACAAAGACAAAATTTTAAGAGAAAACTGGAGAAACCACCTTAAGTAAAGACAAATAAGTAGCTCTTTTAAAACACCATGCAAGGAAAGAGTAGAGGGAAAATTTAAGATGTTAAAAGGTAACAAAAAATGATATTTCTATATTCAGTTAAAATATTCTTAAAAAGTATAAGAGAAATAAAGGTTTTTCCATCAATCAAAAAATATGAAATATGTGAACATAAAACCTGTCTTGTGAGAGATATTAAATGAACTTGTTCCAAAATGCTATACATCAGAAACCAAGATCTATATAAAGAAAGGAAGCCTGGTAGTTTTCTGGTTCTTAACTAACAGACAAAAACATCACCAAAATAATAGTCACAATAATATACTTGCTTACTGTAGTTTAAGGAAAATTTAAATAATATTGAAAACTTCGGCACACTGGTTAAAACTTGTAAAAAGCAAACATCACATGCTAATCAAAATTAAGCAAATCAGCTTACGTATGCCCAATTAAAGTCAGAGAAGTCAAGAAAGAATGCAAAAGAAAATGGAACAGATGAGAGCAATGTGGAGTGAGCAATTGGAATATGGCATATACTATAGCACAGCTATATAAGCAACAACTTTAAATGTCAATGTGAATATCCCAGTAAAATCCACAGAATTTCCAAGATGATAGACAAAGCACATCTGAATGATGCATATAAGAAACCAGTAAACATATATAAATTTTAAAAATAATGGCATGTAGAAAACTATACTATGATAACACTAATCAGAATAAAACTGGTATAGTTATATAATTTTCTATAGTGAGCTAACCTTTGAGAAATGTCTCTGGGATGCAGTTTCTTCTCAGGAATAACTTCTGCTTGTGCTAACTGCTTATCATCCTGTGTTCTTATTCCTCTGAGGAATAAATTCCCTCTGCAATAACATATTCCCTGATTGCTAACACAGAGATCAAATGTATGTGGTTTTTAGTTTCATAAACAATTTGCATTCTAGAGATAAGACATTTTTATATCTGGCTTCTTTTACCCAAAATTATGTTGGGGTTATTAATTCATAATGACAGGAACAAACAGATTCAGCAAAAGAAATGTTACAAGACATGCTCAGTCTCACAAATAGAAGGAAATTGCAAATTCAAATGAAACAATAGCCTTCCTTATGGGATTTTTTAAAAAATAAATGATGCACCCTGCAATTATAAAGATTAGAAGAAACTGGCTTCTTGAATTGTACAGTCATGTAGCTTGTGGAGCATGTCCATTAAAAATCTATTAAAGTTAAGTCAGGCATAGTTGATTAATATGCGTGAATGCACCAAAATGTTGTTTTAATAACAGCTATTATGCATTGAAAATATTAACTTTGATTTTAGTAATTTCAAACTATCAAAACAGGTAAACATTTTCCACAAACAAAATGGAAATCTCTAACATTACTAATGTTTGCTGGTTTGAGATTTCTAATGCTTTGTATCAACTGTAGTTGAGAATAAGCACATTGTGTATCAGAGAATATATCTGCTGTAGAAAGTCAGTCCTTCAGGAAAATTTCACTATTTTCATTGAAAAATGCATGTCTGTGATTATTTCACAGCACAAAATATTTGTGAGATACACATAATTTAGCAAGGTGGAGTTGTTCTTAAAATTAATGCATAGTAATAGTAATAAATGAATGGAGACAGGGAGGCATACAGAACATCCTGAAAGTTTTTCTATAGACAGAGAGATGCTTGCCTTGGTACATTTTTCTATTTTGATTACCAAAACTCTTGGGATGTGACTAAACATATTAGGTCCTCTGTTATATGACGCATTGTACTTAGGTATAAAAATATCTCCAGTTCGTGTGATTCAGATGAATGCATAAAGAGCATGAGATTTCATGGCAAGTCCCACTTTCTCACTTACAATATAGAAGGAGGTCAACAATGTTTCTTGAGTTTTTTTTTTCTCTGAGCCTCACACCTTGCACATGAAACCAATTAATATTTTGTGAAACTGAGTGATGAGGAGAATGAACATGGATTTTAAATTATGGGCCTGGAGATGGAAGAAAATGTCATCTAATTCTCACTTTCATTTAAATATGCATGTATGGAACTGAAAGCAAGCAAACATTTTAACAAACAAAAATTATTATTGATGAGCTCACTAACCATTCGCTTTTTGCTTTGCCCTACTGCAACAGCTTTTTAAAAAGTATCCTACCATATTAAGTTATACTTTCATGTTTTCCGTCACTCTTTACTTTTCTCAGAAACCTTTTGTGGTTACCCTTGTTACCTCAGTACCTAACACATTTGGATTTCTAAAAGGTCAAATCATAGATCTTTGATGATAACATACTTCATAGTACCACTTGATGGTAAAAATATCGTCAATGGAAGTATGCCTATAAAATTTGCATGCCCAGAACAAATCCCTTTTATGATCTTCATAATTGTCTGCCAAAATGTCTATGTGATGTCCTATATGTATCACAATATTTAATAAATTTTAAAAATTTATGTCTAGAACCAAACGCCCCCTCCTCTCTCCATCTATCAATAGATTAATCTCCATCTATACATAGATTAATCCCTTATCTGAATCAGTGACTACAACTTTTTGTATATTGCTGAACCAATAAGCTTGGATCTATGCCTGATTTCTTTTTCACACATTTTCAAAATTTGTCAAGAATCTAGTTAAACTTTGACATCTCCAACCTGACCAGCATCATTCTTCACCCAAATGCCTCAAATAGGGTATTAAATAGACACTTCGCATCATAGTTAATACAATGCTCCACCCTAACACACAAACACACACACACACACACACACACACACACACACACACACACACAGTGTAATGCTAACAGATTATCCAGAATAAGTTTAAAATGGGAAGCTACCTCTTATGGCTTTTTTTCTGCAAAAAAAATTTCCAACAGTTTACCAGAAGAGTGTGAACAATGACCTCTGTATCTTGTGTGATCTCACCCTTGTCTTCTCTCTGACCTATGTTTATCGCATTGCTCTCTGTACTCCAGCACCACGGATATTCCCCAAAGCATGCAAAATCCTCCTCCAGCAAAAAGTTCTGACACTAGCTGCTTTTTCTTCCCAGATGCCATCTGATCATCTCAGTTCACACAGCTTGCTTATTAATCTCTTCAAGTCATTGTATGAATGTGACTGTCCTTGACCAACCAGTTTAAAAGAGCAAATCTCTTCTCACTTGCATGAACAGACAGGTGCCTGCGTGACATCCATAGCACTTACTGTTCTCTACATATCCTCCTTTTCCTAGTTGGTTCACCCCACACACACACACATACTGCCTAAAATGTAAGATCCAGAAGACAAGATACGTTTACATCTTTCAATTGCCATACCATTAGAGCATAGCACTTAGCAAGAACTAGCAAATACTGTGTTAAAAAACCCAGTGCCCTCACATGATACCCTACAATTGCCCATAGTGTTTAGTTTTAAATATAAAACATTATTTGACTCATTTTTCTGCACTGATGTCTTAGGTATTAAAGAGTGCAACTAAAATTAGGTAGAACTATGAAAAATATTAAAGGGTGTACCAGAGATTCTGGATTACAGGAGGACTTATTACGTAATGGACCCACGTTTTTATTTCCCTAAGTGATACTAAGAAAACACACACAAGTTTTGCTGATATGCTAGCCTGGGTTTGCATATGGGTTTTCTTTCCTCACTGTACCATATTTCTTTCCATTAACCTCACCTGTTGACACAAATGTCTTAGTATAAATTTTGTGGCTATAATAAAATAACTGGCACTGGTTAAACAAACAAAGTTTGATTCTTTGTGATTCTGGTGGCTGAAGAGGCCAAGCTTCATGGCCTCTGTGGCTGTGTCACACCACAGTAGAGAGGAAAATTGCCTCCTACATAACAGCCGCATGGTTTTAGGTCATCTATTTTCAAATGTGTCCTGAGGTGTGATCACACTTATTATTTGTGGTTAGAAAATGTTTTTAAAAATCAGGTAATGTTTTGTTGTGGTGTGGAGGATAAACACAGCACTTCACACATGATAAGACGCACCACACTGTAAATCCTGTGCTCTGTGTAGTGTTAAGACTATGGGAAGTAGACATTCAAACAGAGAGACTGCAAACAGCTGTGTTCAATGATCCAAAAACATTAATATAGTCAGCTATTTAACATCCCTAAACACACTTGCTGTTATATCCGTTAGAGCTCTTTTTTTTCCCTCCCTCTCTTTTTTACAACAAAATTTACACATTTTGGATTTTATTACTCCTTAGTTCTTATTACTTTTTTTGGGGGGGAGAGAATAAAGTCAAATATGGCAAAACAAAGCTGTAAGTCAAAACCAAGGATAGACATAGCACATGATGTAGAACAGAGTACAAGGTTATTAACAATGGTTATCAACATTGTCTCTTGTTTCCTTAAAAGGAATTGTCTATCTCATTAGATATTATAAAGTTGGACAAAACAGTGGAGAACAAGACCAATAAAACTTAGGCATTGTGAACATTACAGGACTTCCAAAGGAGACAATAGTCAAACCAGAATGGGCATCTTTGTGAATCTTATTGCCTTCAAATTAGTTGCCTATACCTTCAGACTTGCTACTATCGCACAGAATGGAACAGAGTCTAATCAGTCAAAACAAGATCTTGGGAGTATTATAGGACTTCAAAACAAGTTAATAGGAGATCAAAAAGAGTTACTACTTTATATCCTAATTTTTTAAATTTTTCCCTTAATTAAAATAAACATAAGAAATAGCTAAATAATTTTTTTAAAGAATAGTAGTTACCATAGTGTCTGTCTTTTTCCTTAAAATATTTGGATAAAACTTCATATACTATAGCTTCAAATATTTCCATATCAAGAAGCCCAGAATAAAGCCTTTCTAATTAATAAGTGAAAATTTTATATGTTTTTTTTTTGTAGTTCTGTATTATGTGTAACCTTACACTGCTTTGTTTTGTTTTGTGTTTTTCTCTTTTTCCTCTTAAATAAAAAAAAAAGACTATGGGAAGTGCATTAGTAAGGAAAAATTGAATATGGAGAAAGGAAGGGGAAAGATTCATGGTATGTAAATCTTGGATGGCAGAGGAGAATGAATCCAAATAGAGATGAAATTACAAAAGAATAAGTAGAGCACTACTTTTTAACAAGACACAAGGAAGATAGGATACATGCACATAAGATGATGGCTAAGAGATTTTTTTACTCTGATTACCAAATCACTTTTTTCTCCATGTTGTAGGCCACCATTAGAGGATAACAGAGGATATAGAAACAATATATGGTAAGAATGTGTAATAAAGTGATGACCAGAGAAATATAACAAGATTTCATCAATGTCAAAAAATTTCATGTTGGAGATAGTAATTTATATTGCAGTAAATCTGTCCTGACCTATAAGTAGTTGCTTAATTTCACATGATAATTTTTGCTGGAAAAATTATGGCAAAAGGAGCATTTGAGTGTCTTGAAAAAAGTATTTTGAAATAACATCACTGAAACAATCTCAACATGGAAAAAAGTGAGGAAAGGCAATGACTGATAGGTCAAAATAGCAAAATCAGACTCAGATGTAGAGAAGTTAATGAAATAATAATATATTTTTTATGTTTGAAAACAATGAATAAAAAATTTAGAAAGGGATGGGAGAGAATGTAATAGATTTTCTTTGTGGCTTTGGAGATTGAACCAAGAGCTCTCACACTGAGCTACATAATTAGTCTTCACATCCCTTACTCTGTGTGTGTGTGTGTGTGTGTGTGTGTGTGTGTGTGTTGAAATGTGAGTTTGTTGTTAAATTACCCAGTCTAGGTTCAAAATTATTATCTCCATCTCAGCCCTCCAGTGTTGCGATGATTGTGGGTGTCTCATTTTATGCTTATCAATGTCTCATTTTATGCTCATCAATGAATATACTCATTGATTATTTCAGTAACTGAATGTGCTTTTAAGGAGGGGCCTGGGTGTGCAGAGGAGGGGCTGGGCGGATCTGGGGTGCCAGCATCAGCCTCCCCGTGTGTCTGGAGGACTGTGGATATCTCAGGAAGCAGGGGAGGACCGCAGGGTCCAGAGGCACCATGGCCTGTGGTGAGTGCTCAACGCACTCTGCCCAAAGCCCAGACTGTTCTGGACCCTCCAGGCTTCCTAGTGCAGTGAAGTGGAGAGGTGGGTTTGAGGAGTCTACATCCGCCTCCTCATCCCGGCTGCACTTGGATAGCTGTGGAGCTTCCAACGGGCAGGTGGGCGCACAGTGTCCCTGAGACCCAGCTTATCTGAAACTGCAGAGTTCTGAACAGGCAGAGGAGGGCCATTGGTTCTGCAGGCCCAGTGGCTTGGGGTAATAGGGTGCCAGAGTCTCAGGAGCTGCAAACATAAAAGGGGATTTCCAACAGACCCTGAGGAAGCTTTCAAATAACACTTGAAACACAGAAATATAGGAAAATGACAAAACGAAAGAGAAAATTACAACCTCAAACCTCCAGCCCATCTCAAGAAACCCTAGGAGCAATGTATATAGAAGAAAATATATGCCATTCACCTCAAATATCGGACACAATAGCTATTGAAATTAACAAGCAACTCCGGGAAGCTTTAAAGAAATTCAAACTCGAAATAATCTCCCAGGTAAAAGAAGAAATGATAAAAGAAATGAAAGAGATTCTGAATATATCTAAAGAAAACACAGATAAAAAATTGGAGGAACTAACAAAAAGATAGAATCTCTAGACAATCAATATAAGAAACAAACAGAATACATAATGCAGATGCACAGAGATATACAGGAAATAAAAAACTCCACTGAAAGTTGTAAAAACCACCTTAATAAAAGTGAAGCTAGAATTTCAGACCTTGAAGACAGGATTGCAGCTAGTGAACAGGAAACGAAAGATCTTTTAAAAATAACAAGGAATCAGGAAACAACAATTCAACAACTGCAAGACAATGCAAAGAAAAATAACATAAGAATGATAGGGATTAATGAAAAGGAAGGAGACAACATAAAGGATGTCAAGAGGATATTTAGAGAAGTAATAGATGAAAATTTCCCAAGCATGAGATCAGAAACCGACATTAGGATCAGTGAAGCATATAGAACTTCAAATAGTCATAACCAAAATAAAACTACACCAGACATATAATAATCACCATCCCAGAAATCCAACACAAGAAGAGATTATTAAAAGGTGCCAGAGAGAAAAGACAGATCACTTATAAAGCAAAACCTATCAGAATCACAGCAGACTTCTCAGCACAAACAATAACGTCAAGAAGAGCATGGAGTGAAGTATTCCAGATCTTAAAGCAAAATGATTTCCAACCTAGACTGATGTTTCCTGCAAAACTGTCATTCAAAATTGATGGTGAAATACGATACTTCCATGACAAAGAACAGCTGAAGAACTTCATGAACACCAAACCAACCCTGTAAAAATATTGAAAGACAGTTTAGATACACAAAGGAAAAAAACCACTAAGCAAAGCAGATAATTAAACAGAACAGAAAGATAAAGATGCAACAGCAGAGAGATAACATGTCAACAATAAACCAGCATTTAACAGTAATAACAATTAATTTAAATGGTCTCAATGCACCAATCAAAAGAAACAGAATAGCAGAATGGATCAAGAAACAAAATCCAACCATATGCTGTTTACAGGAACCCATCTAACCCAGAAGGATACTCACAGACTGAAAGTCAAAGGATGGAAAACAATACTTCATGCAGCAGGAATCCAAAAAAAGGCAGGAGTAGCCATTCTGTTTGCAGACAACGTGAACTTTAAACCAACAATGACCATAAAGGACAAAGAAGGTCACTACATACTAGTAAGGGGAAAACTCCAAGAGGAAGAGATAACTATCTTAAATATATATGCACCAAACTCCAGAGCACCCAGTTATATAAAATAACTATTAACAGAAATGAAAACTCAAATTATCAGTAACACAATTGTAACAGGAGACCTTAATACGCCATTGACACCAAGGGACCGATCAACCAGACAGAAAATGAGCAAAGAAATAACAGAACTGAATCACACCTGCAAACAAATGGATTTGATAGATATATACAGAATGTCCCACCCCACAACATCAGAATACACATTCTTCTCAGCAGTACATGGATCATTCTCTAAAATAGACCATATATTAGCTCACAGAACATATTTAAACAAATGTAAGAGAGTTAAATTATCCCTTGCATGTTATCGGATCATAGCGCTCTGAAATTAGAAATTAATGATAAAAGATACTGCAAAAATCCCACAAACACATGAAAACTGAATAACACACTCTTGAGTAATCAGTGGGTCACAGAAGAAAGTAAAGAAGAAATTAAACAATACCTAAAAGAAAATGAAAATGCAGATACAACTTACTGGAATTTGTGGAATGCAATGAAAGCTGTCCTGAGAGGAAAATTTATTGCACTGAGTTCCCACATCAGGAAAACAGAACGAATAGAAATAAATAACTTGATGCTACACCTCAAACAGCTAGAAAAAGAAGAGCAAGTCAAGCCCAAAGCCAAAAGAAGAGAGGAAATTATAAAAATCAGAGCAGAAATCAATGCAATAGAGATTAAGAAAACAATCCAAAGAATCAACGAATCAAAGAGTTGGTTCTTTGAAAGAATAAATAAAATCGATAAGCCCCTAGCCAACCTTATTAAAAAAAAGGGAAGAAAAAGCTCAAATTCATGCAATAAGAAATGAAAAAGATGAAATCACTAAAGACCCAATAGAAATACAGAAGTTCATCAACACCTATTTCGAAAACCTCTACTCTCGAAAGTTTGATAACACAGAAGAAATAGACAGATTCTTAGAAACATATGAAGTACCAAAGCTAGATCAAGAGGATGTAAAACTGTTGAATAACCCAATCTCTGTTAATGAAATTGAAAATGTAATTGTCCTTATCTACAAAGAAGAGCCCAGGCCCAGATGGATTCACTGCAGAATTCTACAAGAAATACAAAGAAGACCTAATGCCGACACTCCTCAAACTATTCAATGAAATTGAAAGGGAAGCAATCCTTTCTAAGTCATTCTTGGAAGCAAGTATTACTCTAGTACCAAAACCTGAGAAAGACCCAACTTAAAAAGAGAACTATAGACCAATCTCCCTAATGAACACAGATGCAAAAGTCCTCAATAAAATATTGGCAAATAGGATGCAGCAAATCATCAAGAAGATTATACACCATGACCAAGTGGGATTCATCCCAGGAATGCAAGGATGTTTCAACATATGTAAGTCAATAAATGTAATCCACCATATCAATAAAGCCAAAAGTAATAATCACATAATCATTTCTATAGATGCAGAAAAAGCCTTCGATAAGGTCCAACATTTATTCATGATAAGAACTTTACAGAAAATTGGAATAGATGGTCTTTACCTCAATATAATAAAGGCCATTTATGACAAACCAACAGCCAGCATCATACTAAATGGCCAAAAATTGAAAGCCTTTACTTTAAAATCAGGCACAAGACAAGGATGTCCTTTATCACCACTCCTATTTAATATAGTACTGGAAGTACTAGCCAGAGCAATTAGGCAAGAAAGAGAAATAAAAGGGGTAAAGATAGGAAAAGAAGAAGTTAAATTATCATTGTTTGCAGATGACATGATACTCTACATAGAAGACCCCTAAACTCCATTGAAAGGCTCTTAGATACAATAAATAAATTCAGTAATGTGGCTGGATACAAAATCAATACTCAGAAATCAATAGCATTCCTATACACGAACAACAAAATCACAGAGAGGGAAATAAGAGAAACTACACCCTTCACATTAGCAAGCAAAAAAAAAAAATGAAATATTTAGGAATTACGCTTATGAAAGAAATGAAAGACTTCTACAGTGAAAATTATAATACACTGAAAAAAGAAATTGAAGATGATCTCAGAAAATGGAAAGACATGCCTTGCTCATGGATAGGAAGAACAAACATTGTGAAAATGGCCATTCTCCCAAAACTCTTATACAGATTCAATGCAATCCCAATAGAAATACCATCAACATACCTTATAGATCTAGAGAAATCACTCCTAAATTTCATCTGGAACCAGAAGAGACCTAGAATAGCTACGGCAATTCTAAGCAGCGAAGACAAAGCAGGAGGCATCACAATCCCTGACTTGAAGTTATACTACAAAGCAACAGTAGTAAAATCAACATGGTATTGGAGTCAAAACAGAGCCTAAGATCAATGGAATAGATTAGAAGATACAACCACAACTACAAACACACTCAACCACCTTATCTTTGATAAAGGAGCCAAGCAGGTTCGCTGGAAGAATGACAGTCTCTTTAATAAATGGTGCTGGAAAAACTGGCTCTCCATTTGCCAAAAACTAAAGCTAGACCCATGTCTATCACCCTGTACTAAATTAAAATCTAAATGGGTCAAAGATCTGAATATTAAAACAGAAACACTAAATCTATTGGAAGACAAATTGGGTAGAAACCTTGAAGACATAGGAGTAGGTGGAGAATTCATGAACAGGACTCAAACCACACGAGAAATACTTCCCAGAATCAATAGCTGGGACCACTTCTTATTAAAAAGTTTCTGCATGTCAAAACAAATCTACAGCATGGTAAAAAGAAAACTCACTAACTGGGAAAAGATCTTAGTGAACTCTCTCTCAGACAAGGGACTCTTGTCAAAAACATATAAAGAATTAAAAAAACTCAGACCCCCAAAATTCAAAGATCCAGTCCAAAAATGGGCATCTGAGATGCATACGCACTTCTCAGATGAAGAAATGCAAATGGCAAATAAATACATGAAAAAAATGTTGGAATAGATGGTCATCATCTATTATTCATTAGTCATTAGAGAAATGCAAATTAAAACCACACTGAGATACCATCTCACTCCTGAAAGAATGGCCAGGATCAAGAAAACCAACAACAACAAATGCTGGAGAGGCTGTTGGAAAAAAGGAACTCTCCTACACTGTTGGTGGGAATGTAGACTGGTGCAGCCTTTGTGGAGGTCAGTCTGGAGATTTCTCAAAAAGCTCGGATTTGAAGTCCCATTTATTCCAGCTATTACACTTCTAGGCATATTCCCAGAAGAAGTGAAAGCATCATACCACAGTAATATATGTGCACCTATGTTTATAGCAGCACAATTTGTAATCGCCAGATCTTGGAAACAACCCAAGTGTCCATCAACTGAGGAATGGATAAAAAAGTTGTGGTATTTCTATACAATGGAGTATTATTCAGCTATAAAGAAGGATCGCATTGAGATATTTATCAATAAATGGGCGCAGCTTGAGACCATACTCATAAGTCAAATAAATCAATCTCGCATGTATGAATACCGAATAGTTTCCCTAATGTAATTAATGATTCAAATATATAAAAATATGTGGTAATCATGATTCCCCATTATGTGGCCTTGAAGCCTTATAAAGTTTTCACTTATTAATTGGAAAGGCTTTATTTTAGGCTTCTTCATATGGAAATATTTGAAGCTATAGTATATGAATTTTTATTCAAATATTTCAAGGAAAAAGACAGACACTATGGTAACTACTATTAAGTCAGGTTATTTGATGGTGAAGCACTAGGTTACTGAAACAGTCATGCTTTGACCTGTATTGTTATACTGTTATGTCCTGTTTTATCTCAATCTCTCCCTTATTCATTAAAAAAATTATTTAGTTATTTCTTATTTTTTTTAATTAAGGAGAAAAATTAATAAATTAGCAGGATATATAATAGTAACTTTTTTTGATTTCCTATTAACTTGTTTTGAAGTCCTGTAATACTCCCACTATCTTGTTTTGACTGATTGGACTCTGTTCCATTCTGTAGGATAGTATCAAGTTTGAGGGTATAGGCAACTACTTTGAAGGCAATAAGATTCACTAAAATGCCCATTCTGGTTTGACTATTGTCTCCTTTGGAAGTCCTGTAATGTTTACAATGATTAAGTTTTATTGGTCTTGTTCTCTACTGTTTTGTTCAACTTTATAATATCTAATGAGATAGACAATTCTTTTTAAGGAAACAAGAGACATTGTTGATAACCATTGTTGATAACCTTGTACTCTGTTTTACATCATGTGCTATGTCTATCCTTGGTTTTGACTGACAGCTTTGTTTTGCCATATTTGACTTTATTCTCTCCCCCTCCAAAAAAATAATAAGAACTAAGGAGTAATAAAACCCAAAATGTATAAATTTCATTGTAAAAAAGAGAGGGAAAAAAAGAGCTCTAAAGGATACAACAGCAAGTGTGTTTAGGGGTGTTAAATAGCAGACCATATTAATGTTTTTGGTTGGATCATTGAACACAACTGTTTGCAGTCTCACTGTTTGAATGTTCACTTTGTATGCTTTGATACTGTGATTTGAGCAACTATCTCTAAGATGATAATATGTAATCTATTAACTGGTGATTTCTTACTGTTTTTTTTTTTTTGTAGTTCTGTATTACTTGTACCCTTACTTTTTTTGTTTTGTTTTTTCTCTTTTTCCTTTTAAATAAAATTTTTAAAAAAAGGAGGTGCCTGGTTGTTGGAGGCAGGACACTGCAAGTGTGACCTAGAAGGATTTGTTCTTGTGCATTATATGACATGTTATTAAATCATAGTTTATAAAGTATCCATAAAATAAACTAGTTATTTGTTGATTTTATAATTTCAAATAAATTTCTTAAAATTTTTTATTTCAATGAGACAATTTTAGTTTTTAAATTCTTAAACTTCACTGGGAATGAAGAAAACTTACTGCCTAATGCTTGTGGGTAGTTATCTTACCCATCATGATCCACATTGGTTTTCATTCACTGAACAAGTTAAAAAAATACCACCTGTGCATTAAATAACATTGCCAGATCCAAGATGTATGAACTGAGGTAAGGTCTCTGTAGCAAATGTAGATATTTTGGTTTTTGTTTTGTATTTTAAAATACATATTCTCACTGCTAACAGCTATGTAGGACTATATGTCAGGTTAGCATCATATAGTCAGGTTGATTTGCTAGCCAGTGATCATATGAAAGGAAGCTATTTGTTTTGGTTAAAAGGAAAAAGAACTTTATTCAAAGTTATCTATGAACAGAGGGAGAGGCCTTATTTGCCCAAATCACCCTCTCACAGTGTCCCGCAGTATTTTATAGCAAGGGACAGAGTGAACGGGGAATACCACGAGTGAGTGCATGTGCTGAAGCTTCCCCTTTGCTCCATCTTCACTTGGTGTCCACCTTTCCTGTGCAAAGGAAACTTGGCCCAGACTTTGGGTCAGAACCTGTATATGATGTCATTTCATCTGGGCTGAGGAGATAAGGGGTGTACTGATTATACACTCAGCAGGAGGAAAATTAAAAAAAATCTAACTTCTAAAGTTTAATTTGGCATTGGTAACTACAATTCCCCTCTTCTTAAACTTAGCTCCCCATCTTGAGGTTCTTGGGATGCTGCATCATCTGGCTGCTCATCTAATGGTGGACTGGCATATGGATTCCATCAGAGGTAGCAGAAGCAAAACCAAAAGAAAAACCAGATACTTGCTCCTGCAAAGTGTCACTTAAGACTGGGAAGCAAAGTACAAAAGAAAGCCCAAGTTAGACGATAACTACGAGTTGCTGCCCCTATTAGAAGGGCTTTTGTTTTTAGGCAATTGTGTTTAACAGTGGTCCCTACACTCTTTGGCACCAAGGACCAGTTTCAGGGAAGACACTTTTCCCATGAACCAGTATGAGAGGTGGCTTAGGGATGATTTGAGTGTATGATATTTATTGTGGATTTTACTTCTATTTTTATGACATTGTAACACACAGTGAAAGAATTATGCAGTACATCACAATACAGAATCAATGAGATTCCAAAGCTTATTTTTCTTTTCTTTTTTATTTTGAAAACCAAAACAATATATATGTAATAAAAATGATGATACAGAATTTCAATACCATACAATAGGAGACTAACACCGATTAATACATTGTGTATTGTTATCTTTAAAGTAGTTGTCCAGTTTGTAAGATATAGGCAAGAAGAAAATGATCAAATAATTGAACAATGAAAGCACAAACTGTTCTTTCTGCTGAACTCATAGAGATTAGTTGTACAGTTATCTATCTTGTGTGTGTATATCTACACATATGTAATATATATATTATATATATCCATATATAATTTTTCAACTAATCAATTTATCCTCTTCAACACAAAATCAATTAACCTTGCTTATTCACAAATGGATGATGGATCCATGTCCCCTGGCTTGAGTTTTATGAGATTGTGAAGCAAAGTCCACACTTCTTTGAAAGCTGAGATAGATGATCTGAGAGAAGGAAGACCCTGGCTCTGCCTCTTTCAAAATCTCTGCCAATTTTGAATGATGTAAAAACAAATAAATAGCCCTACTCTTTGTTCATTATTTTCATAACTCCAGTTTGGCTTTGAATGCAGCCCCTTTATCTGCTGACTTGAATATTGTTATTATTTTCCCCTGAAATGATTGACTGAGTTCATGGAGCACGTTGACTATGTCAAAAAACTAAGCCAGTTTTGCAGCTCACTCAGTGTCCCTAAAATATGCTGTCAGAGGTGACTAGTTTTCAAAGGAAATTTCTAGAGTAGCTCTCATAGGTCAAAAACTCTGCTCCAAGATGTACCTTTAAAAATTCATCTCACATCTGTGTTTGAAAATGTGTGCTTTCTGCATTCATCTCCTTAGTGAGCTGCACAAACAGACTTGAGTTAAGGGTATGTAATTTAATGTGGTGCATAATTTTAATCGAATGTTGGGAAGTGTTTTAAAACTCAGATTATCTTTCTCTATAGATGAAGCAGTGCTTGGATTTACATATGGAAATGATTTCTTTGAGCTAAGTAGTGAAACCTGAAAGCTTGTCCAGTCATGGCAGCCACTTCACTCATGAATATACTGGCACAAAAATGATCAGTTTCACTTCCCTGATATGTAATCATTCAAAGATTTGAACAATCCTGCTGCTGTGGTTTTGACTGGCAACAAATCTGCATTTTCTTATGATTAGATCAATACATAAAGATTAGTAGGCTTTACTGCTTGTCTTATTTTCAATATACAAAGAGACCATTGGTGTTTCAAACACGGGTTTGTATTTTTACTGTTTCCCTTTGTATTTTGCAAATAAAACAAAGCATTATTACTTTGCAGTGAGAATTTTGTAATGAGAATATAGACCACAGCTTTTAAGTTATGGATCTATTATGGAATTTAAAAATTGCATAATTCTAATATCACTTGAAAGAGCTGTAAGTTTAACTGATAGTAAGCTATAATTTCAACTAATGAAATTTATTATTGGTGACATCACCAACACTGCTTCTTTTCTTACCACACTGTGGCATCTTTTTAAAGGTATTCCATTTGTCGTTGTTCTGCAAGGCTGTATGTTGGGTTCTGGATATGTGGTTCCCTGTGTTGGGCTTTGCTGTTACCCTAAGGTTGTCCAGTGAATCATCACTGAATCCCAAACAAGGAGGTGAGGAGTACCAAGGGACATCAGGAAAAGTGGCACTGAAAATGCTTTCAAGACAGATTTTCCTTGCATGGAAGAACTTTCTTGGGTCTACATGTTTTCCATTCTCCTGGATATCTTAATCCTGGAATACTCAAGGTTTCAAAGTATTAGAAGTAAGATGACTGAAAACTCTATATGAAGATTGCATCATGGCTGACTATGACAGTGGCAGTTGAGGAAAACTTAGAAGACATGAGGCAGGAAGTGTAGGTACCAGAAATGGGGGATGCAAACAAATCCAAATATGGAAAGGCCAGTAGGAAAAACTCAACATAGTTTTCAATGTTCTTAACACTCCTGCCTTGTAATTATGCAATTTCTAGCACATGTCTACCTATGCATCCAGGCTAGCCAAGGCCACAAATTGGTTTCACAGGACCAGTGAGTGCAATTTAGGGCTCCCCATCTAATTTCAGGGCAATTAAATGGTCTGTTGGAGACCAGTATTCAACCTGCAAAGTTTTGGTTTTTGTGTCCTGTTCAGGGAGTATCCCTAATGTATAGTAGAGATAGGTCAATGAGAATAAGAGTGACTTTTTTGTTCCCAACATAAAGGAGCCTACCAATAAGTTGTCCTACAGTTGCAGTTAACCATGCACAATTATCACATATATGAAAGTAACTATCCTTATGTCTATGATATAATCTTTATTCTTACTTAATAAAGTTCTATTAGAGTCTGTAGAGAGGCTTCAGTGGCACTTGAGAAAAAATTTACCTATGTCCAGTATCATTAAAGGTGTTAATTTATAGGCCACTCAGTTACCTTGTGGTGGTGGGCTAAGCTATGAACCACTAAACTTTTTCCTGTCTCATTAAATGAACCCTTATAGATTATCCCAGGTAGCTCCTTGAAATGGGGATACTCATGAAGGAGGTCCTAATATACTTGACAATGGAACAGGCACAGATATTTGTCATAACAATTCGCATATTCTTGTGCCCACACTAGAAAGAAGTTGCATTGTTCTGTAAGAGATACAGTAATTAGTAAAAGGACTAAGAGTAACATCATAGATTACTTATTTGAAGACTGTTTTGTTTTTGAACAAGAATTTTAAGTCTTCTGTTGGTTCACAGGAGTATTCCAAATGTTGCTTGTACTCAGCACCAGTCTCTGGTTCCCAGGGCTTGAGTTGAGTATGTTTTATATATGAGTCAGGCCTGCCACCTTGATAGCTATTGGAGTTGCAGAATCATGTGCGTCCTAGAGCAGGAGATGTTGGGACTAAGACTGGAGATGATGATGAGGGAAGGTACTTTACCATTACTAAATCATGAGGGTGGAATGTGGGATTCTCTTTTCTTAAGCTGAGTTGTTATTAGTTGTTCAAGAGTCTGTTGTAATTTAAATTTTATTTAAAGAAAGATTAAAACAAAACAGAAAATGTGTAAAAACAATACATACAATCCAGAAAAAAAACAGTAAGAAATCACTAGTTAATGTTTACATAATGTCCTTTTACAAATAGTTGTTCAAGATACAAAAGTGGAACATACAAAGTGGGAATTCAAACAGCGATACAGCAAACAGCTCTCTTCAAGTATCCAACGAAAACTTAGTGATATGGTTTCAATCCTATACACTTAAACATACATGCCATTATCCATATCTTCACTTATGTTGAGATTAAACAAACTAAAGCAGGCTAAAGTCATTCGGAACAAAGAATAATAATATTGCTGGATTTCATATCATGGCACTCTGGGATCAGCACTGGGTACTGTAGAGTCTTTTTTAAAAATTTTTATTTAAAAAAAGACTAAACAAAACAGAAAACAGGTAGAAATAACACATACTTTCAAAGAAAAAATAAACAGTAAGAAATCACTAGTTGATAACAGATTGTCCTCTTACAAATAGTTATTCGAGATACTAAAGTGTAGCATATAAAGTTGGGATTCAAACAGTGAGACTGCAACCAGTTCTGTTCAACTATCCAACAAAAGCTTAGAAACATGGTTATCAATCCTATACACTTAAACATACATGCAGTTATCCATATCTTCAATTATGTTTGAGATTGAACAAAACCAAGCAGGCTAATATTACTCTGAACAAAGTATAATACTATTTCTGGGTTTCACATCATGACCCTATAGGATCAGCACTTGTTACTTTAGTGTCTCTTTTTCTTCAAAGTATCTGTTCATTTTACCATGTGTCGTAAGATCAGGTCTCATACACTGCAGCTGCCCTCCTGAAGGAGTGAGTTGGGCCAAGCTGTGGTACCCCATTTCGGCCATATTGATCACCCTTTCTCACCCTGAGTGCACATCACAGCTGCCCGCCCAGAGGAGTGAGTTGGGCCGAGCCGCGGGACCCTGTTCCAGCCTTGTTGACACTCCAAGGGCACATCTCAGCTGTCTGCCAGGGAGAGCCCTGGGCTTAGCTGTGGGACCCTGCTCCAGCCTTGCTGACTGCCCTCTCTCAGCCGGAGGGTACGAAAGCTGCCCCGCCTGAAAGAGGGAACTGGGCCAAGCTGCGGGAACCTCCTGCTGCCTTGCCTGCGACCTTCTTTCTACCTGGAGAGCACTGGCAGTACTGCCACCACCTGGAGAAGGGAGCAGCCCTGCTAAGGAAGTCTGAGGCCTACCTGGGCCATAGAAGGACCCCCTACCAGCCTGGGGAGCTTTGCCATCCAAGGAGCTGGATAGTTACACAACATCCAATCCCTGGGAGAGTATGAGATCCTTGCTCTAGGGGGTTTGGGGCCCACTGGGTTTGCAGCCACACTACCTTGTGCTTAGTTGGATTTCAAATTGCCTGGACCACACCAGGTGGCCTTCTTTCCCTCAGGGGAGCTTTGCTGCCAGAAGGGGGAGCTGTGTAGCTTGAGGAGGCTTTAGGTCTACCTGAGAGGAGCCTGGCAACCTTCTTATAATCCCGGGGGCGTCACTGCCTAGGAGGGAGCTACACTACCAGAAGATCCCAGGAGCCCAGGACATAGGAGACAAGTTACAACACATCCAGGGGAAGCTTTGGAACAACATTTGAAATGCAGAAATATAGGAAAATGACAATTTGAAAGATCAAAATGAAATCTCAAACATCCAGTACACCCCAAGAGAGCCAAGGAGCCATGTACATAGAAGAAAATACATGCCATATGCCTGAAATACCTGAAATAATAGTAACCGAAATAAGGAAGCAACTCTGGGAAGCTTTAAAGGAATTCAAACTAGAAAAAATCTCTCAGGTAAAAGAAGAAATGACAAAAGAAATGAAGGAGATGCTGAACATATCTAAAGAAGACACAGTTAAAAATTGTAGGAACTAAACAAAAAGATAAAATTACTGGATGAACAATATAAAAAACAAACAGTATATAAAGCAGATACAAAGAGATACACAGGAAATCAAAAACTCCATTAAGAGTTGTAAAAACCACCTCAATGAATGTGAAGATAGAATTTCAGACCTCGAAGACAGTGAACAGAAAAGGAAAGATCTTTTAAAAACAACAAGGAATCAGGAAATAACAATTCAACAGCTGCAAGATGATGCAAAGAAAGACAACATAAGGTTGATAGAGATAAATGAAAAAGAAGGGGACAACATAAAGGATGTCAAGAGGATATTTAGAGAAGTAATAGCTGAAAATTTCCCAAACATGAGATTGGAAACTGATATCAAGATCAGTGAAGCATATAGAACTCCAAATAGCCATAACCAAAATAAAACTACACCCACACGTATAGTAGTCACCATCCCAGAAATGGAACAAAAGAATAAAATATTAAAAGCTTCAGAGAGAAAAGACAGATCACCTATAAAGGAAAACATATCAGAATCACAGCAGACTTCTCAGCACAAACAATAAAGTCAAGATGAACACAGAGTGAAATATTTCAGATCCTAAAGGAAAATGATTTCCAACCTAGACTGATGTACTCTGAAAAACTGTCCTTCAAAATCGATGGAAAAATATGATACTTCCATGACAAAGAACAGTTTAAGAACTTCATGATCACTAAGGCAACCCTGCAAAGAACACTGAAAGACAGTTTAGATACACTTAGGAAAAAAACCACTAAATGAAGCAGACAATTAAACAGAACAGAAAGATAAAGATGATGCAACAGTGGAAAGAAAACATGTCAACAATAAACCAACATATAACAGTTATAACCATTAATGTAAATGGTCTCAATGCACCAATTAAAAGAAACAGACTGGAAGAATGGATCAAGAAACAATATCCAACCATATGCTGTCTACAAGAAACATATCTAACCCAAAAGTATACTCACAGACTGAAAGTCAAAGGATGGAAGACAATACTTCATGCAACAGGAACCCCCCCCCAAAAAAAGTGGGGATAGCTATTCTGTTTACAGACAATGTGAACTTCAAACCAATAATGATCAGAAGAGATAAGGTCACTACACACTGGTTAGAGGAAAATTTCAAGAGGACAAGATAACTATCTTAAATATGTATGCACCAAATTCCAGTCATATAAAACAAGTATTAACAGAAATAAAAAAACAAATTAGCAGTAATACAATTATAAGGAGATCTTAAAACACCATTGACAACAATGGACAGATTAACTAGACAGAAAATCAGGAAAGAAATAACAGAACTGAATCACACCTGTGAACAAATGGACTTGATAGACATATACAGAGTATGCCTCCCAACAACCACAGAATACACATTCTTCTCAGCAGTAAATGAGTCATTCTCTAAAATAGACCATATATTAACTCACAGAACATATTTAAATAAATGCCAAGGAGTTGAAATTATCCCTTGCATGTTATTGGATGATACCACAATGAAATTAGAAATTTATGATGAAAGATACTGCAAATATCCCCCAAACACATGGAATGTGAATAACACCCTCTTGAGTAATCCATGGGTCACAAGGGAAACTAAACAAGAAATTAAACAATACCTACAAACAAATGAAAACACAAATACAACTTACCAGAATCTGTGAGATGCAATGAAAGCTGTCCTCAGAGGAAAATTTATAGCACTGAGTTCCCACATCAGGAAAACAGAAGAAACACAAATAAATAACCTGATGTTACACCATAAACATCTAGAAAAAAGATGAGCAATTCAAGACCAAAGCCAAAATAAGAGAGAAAATAATAAAAATCAGAGCAGAAATCAATGTGATAGAGACTAAGAAAACAAAAAAATCAATTAATCAAAGAGTTGGTTCTTTGAAAGAATAAATAAAATCGATAAGCCCCTAGCCAACCTTATTTAAAAAGGGAAGAAAAAGCTCAAATTCATGCAATAAGAAGTGAAAGAGGTGAAATTACTACAGACCCTATAGAAATACAGAAGATCATCAACACCTGTTTCAAAAACCTCTACTCTCAAAGGTTTGATAACACAGAGGAAATAGACAGATACCTAGAAATATATGAAGTACCAAAGCTAGGTCAAGAAGATGTAAAACTGCTGAATAATGCAATTTCTATCAATGAAATTGAAAATGTAATTAAGTCCTTACCTACAAAGAAGAGCCCAGGCCAGACGGATTCACTACGGAATTCTACAAGAAATACAAAGAAGACCTAATGCCGACACTCCTCAAACTCTTCAATGAAATTGAAAGGGAAGTAATCCTTCCTAAGTCATTCCTGGAAGCCAATATTACTCTAGTACCAAAACCTGAGAAGGACCCAAATGAAAAAGAGAAATAAAGACCAATCTCCCCAAAGAACACAGATGCAAAAATCCTCAAAAAATTATTGGCAAATGGGATGCAGCAAATCATCAAGAAGATTATACACCATGACCAAGTGGCGTTCATCCCAGGCATTCGGGGATTCAACATACATAAATCAATAAGTGTAATCCACCACATCAATAAAGCCAAAAGTAAGAATCACATGATCATTTCTATAGATGAGGAAAAAGCATTTGATAAGGACCAACATTCGTTTATGGTAAGAACCTTGCAGAAAATTGGAATAGATGGTCTTTACCCCAAAATAATAAAGGCTGTCTCCGACAAACCAACAGCCAATATCATACTAAATGGTCAAAAATTGAAGGCCTTTTCTTCAAAATCAGGCACAAGACAAGGATGTCCCTTATCACCACTCCTGTTTAATATACTACTGGAAATACTAACCAGAACAATTAGACAAGAGAGAGAAATAAAAAGGGGTAAAGATAGGAAAAGAAGAAGTTAAATTATCATTATTTGCAGATGACATGATACTCTACATAGAAGTCCCTCAAAACTCCACTGAAAGACTCCTAGATATAATAAATAAATTCACCACTGTGGTTGGATACAAAATCAATATTGAAAAATCAATAGCATTCCTCTACAGTAACAAGAAAAATCACAGAGAGAGAGAAATAAGAGAAGCTACACCCTTCACACTAGCAACCAAAAGAATGAAATATTTTAGAAGTACTCTCACAAAAGAAGTGAAAGAACTATACAGGGACAATTATAATACACTGAAAAATGAAATTGAAGATGATCTAAGAAAATGGAAAGACATCCCTTGCTCATAGATTGCAAGAATAAATATTGTGAAAATGGCCATTCTCCCAAAACTGTTATACAGATTCAATGCAATCCCAATAAAAATACCATCAACATACCTCATAGAACTTGAGAAATCACTCCTAAAATTCATCTGGAACCAGAAGAGACCTAAAATAGCAAAGACAATTCCAAGCAGCAAAGGCAAGGCAGGAAGTATCACAATCCCTGACTTGAAGTTATACTACAAAGCAACTGTAATAAAATCAACATTGTACTGGAACCAAAACAGAGCCGAAAATCAGTGTAATAGATTAGAAGATACAACCACAACTACAAACACACTCAACCACCTTATTTTTGATAAAGGGTCCAAACACTGGAAGAACGACAGTCTTTAATAAATGGTGTTGGAAAAACTGGCTCTCCATATGCCGAAAACTAAAACTAGACCCGTGCCTATCACCAAGTACTAAAATAAAATCTAAATGGACTAAAAATCTTAATGTTAAAACAGAAACACTAAATATATTGGAAAACAAATTGGGTAAAAACCTTGAAGACATAGGAGTAGGTAGAGAATTCATGAACAGGACTCAAACCGCACGGGAAATACTTCCCAGAATCAGTAACTGGGATCACCTCTTATTAAAAAGCTTCTGCACGTGAAATAAATCTCCAGTATAGTAAAAAGAAAACCCACAAACTGGGAAAAAATCTTAGTGAGCTTCCCCTCAGACAAAGGACTTCTGTCTAAAACATATAAAGAATTTTAAAAATCAAACCCCCAAAATGCAAAGACCCAATCCAAAAAATGGGCATCTGACATGAATACACAATTCTCAAATGAAGAAATACAAAAGGCAAATAAATACATGAAAAAATGTTCATCATTACTCATTAGAGAAATGCAGATTAAAACAACACTGAGATTTCATCTCACTCCCTGAAAGAATGGCCAAGACCAAGAAAACCACCAACAACAAATGCTGGAGAGGCTATGTGGGAAAAAGGAACTCTCCTGCTCTGTTGGTGGGAGTGTAGACTGGTTCAACCATTGTGGAGGTCAATCTGGAGATTTCTCAGAAAGCTTGGATTGGAAGCCCCATTTGACCCAGCAATTCCATTTCTAGGCATATTCCCAGAAGAACTGAAAGCATCTTACCACAGTGATATATGTGCACCAATGTTTACAGCAGCACAATTTGTAATAGCCAGATATTGGAAACAACCTAAGTGTCCATTAACTGAGGAATGGATAAAAAGTTATGATATTTTTATACAATGGAGTACTAATCAGCTATAAATAATGATCACATTGAGATATTTATAAATAAATGGACGCAGCTTGAGACCATACTCATAAGTGAAATAAATCAAACTCATGTATAATTACTGAATAGTTTCCCTGGTGTAAAAACTGATAAGAATGCCTTAAAGTATGTGGTAATCATGATTCCCAGTTACATTGGTTTGAAGCCATATAGTGTTTTCACTCATTAATTGGAATGGTTTTATTTTTGGTTGTTCGATTTTTTGTCTGTGATTGTACGAATAGCTATTTTGAAGAAAACAAGCCATTATAATAGCTAGTACTGATTTAATTCAACTTGTTTTGAAGTCCCATCAAGCTATTGTACAATGGTTCCATTAGTTTTAACATGTTGTATCTTATTATATTTTAATATATGTGATAGTATAAACAAAATTTTTATAGGCAAGGAGATAATATAGAAACCATTGTTAGTTTTCTGTTAGCTGGTTCTAAATCCCCTGTAATATTTTCATTCTCTTGAATGGTTTCACACTGTCTTGGTATGTTTGATGCTATAGTATATGAAGTTATACTCAAATATTGCAAGGAAAGAGATACTATGGTAACTAATATTATGTCAGGTTATCTGGTGGTGAAACACTATGATACTTAAATTGTTCTGTTCTGAACTGTGTTATTCTGTTGTTATGTCCTCTTTTATCTCAATCTCCCTTTTTTCTTTTTTTTTAAATTAATTTATTTTTTCTTATCATTTTTTTATTAAGGGAAAAATAAATTTGAAAATAGTGAGATATATTATAGTAACTTTTTGTTTTCCTATTTACCTGATTTGAACCCCTGTACTGCTCTCCCCATCTTGTTTTGACTGATTTTACTCTATTCTGTTTTGCTTGATAGTATCAAGTTTGAGGGTATAGGCAACCACTTTGAAGGCAATAAGATTTACTATGATGCCATTATGGTTAGACTATTATCTTCTTTTGAAATCCTGTAAAGTCTCCAATATTTAGTTTTTATTGACTTTGTTCTGTTCTGTTTTGTTCAATTCTATTATACCTGATGATACAGGCAACTCTTTTTAAGATAGCAAGAGGCATAATGGTAACCACTGTTGATCAACTGGTATTCTGTTTTTACATCACGTACTATGTCCATCTTTCTGTTCTAACTGAATGTTTTGTTTTGTCACATTTGGTTTTTTCTCTACAAAAAAAAAAAAACAGTAATAAGAGCTGTGGGAGTGATAAAACCCAAAATGTGTAATTGTTATTGTAAAAAAAAGAGGAAAAGAAAGTGATCCACAGGATATAACTGCATTTATATTTAAGTGTGTAAGATAGAAAACCATACTACTAACTGTTGGATCACTGAATAGAACTGTTTGCAATCTCACTGTTTGAATGTTCACTTTGTGTACTTTAATTTTGTAATTTGAAAAACTATTTCTAAGATGACAATATGTAATCTATTAACTAGTGATTTCTTACTGTAATTTTTTTTCTTGAAATTCTGTATTACTTGTACCATTTCACTGTTTTGTTTCGGTTTTTTATCTTTAAATAAAAAATGATCAGGTCTCATAAACTGTTTATAGATTCTACACGTACATGAGTCTTAACATGTATTTCTATCCTTTCTATATTAGAGGGAGAAACAAAAGAAAGCAAGATAAAACAAAACATATTCCTATAAATACATGAAACAAAAAAGACATATAAGACCATTGTACAAGGAGTTCTACCATAGTTCCTGTGTTGTTTCTTGTTATCCTCAATAGAATTGGCAATATCATCAGACATAGTACAATTCAATATATCAGTGCATAACAGTATTAATAAAAACCCAATTTTTATACAGAATAAAACTTCAAAAACAGGCAGTTATCAAACCAGAATGCATATCATAGCAAGTCTTGTCATCCTCAGTGTAGTTGCCTATACTCTTAGACTTGATACTATCAATAGTATCAGTTTTGAATAAAATCTGTTGATACCAAACAGCAATCAAACCAACCAGAATTAACTAAGATCAGTCATGATAAAACAATATAAGTCATACAGGGCTCCAGATTGAGATAATAGGAAATTAAAAATGATTACTGTGCTATATCCTGATGTTTTGAGGATAGCTGTCTGTGCCCTCAATTCTAATGCAAGTAGACAAACTGGAACAGAATAAAATCTATCAAAAAAAGGAGTAAAATTTATCTAAGCAGAGTGGTGTGAGTAATGTGGGTTTTAAATCCTGATACACTATTAACAATATCTTCTGCTATCTTTTTTAAAACTCTCTCTCTCCTCTTTCACCTCCCCAAGGTACACTGTGTCATTTTGGGTCTCACCAAGACCCTTAGTTTTAAATTGTAGTGGGGGACAACCTGCTATTTACCTAAGTGGTTCTGAACCTTCTCTCTCCTGGACTTGATCTCCAATTGTATTCCTTTACCTATTAAAGCCTGTCTTTCCAACCTATCTACAAATACTTGTCTAGCTGTTCCTATTACTCTCTGGTTCTCTGTCACATAGAGCACTGTTTTCTCATATTTGATTTTCAGTCCCTGTACTCTTTTCATGTTAATTACATTTCTTTTAAATAGCAACTAGGTAGACCCTGCCTCCTGATATACTGTGGTTCTTTTTTTTTTTTAATTTAGTGAAACAAGGCCATCTATATTAGACATTATAACCAACATTCTCTGCCTCATTTCTGTTATGCTCTTTTTTTGCCATCAGTTGTCTGCTTATCTTCTTCTTTCTGTTTTCTGCTTCATTCAGTGAGGCCTCTCTGCTACTGTTCCTGGAATCCTAGTACTTTTCTCTCTCTCTCTCTAGGATGCCCTGCAGTATTCTCTGTAGAGTTGGATTGGTGGTTGCAAATTTCCCAAGTTCCTCTTTGTCTTGGAAGCATCTTGTTTCTCCATTAATTTCTAGAGACAGTTTATCAGGGTATATCAATCTGGGATGGAGGTTATTTTCTTTCAGGGCATGGAATATTTTGCTCCAGGCTCTTCTTGACTTGATGGTTTGTGTCAAGAAGTCTGCTATTATTCTGATGGGCTTTCCTTTATAGGTTATCTGTTTCTTGTCACTAACAGCTTTTAATATTCTATTCTTATATTGAATTTTTGGAATCTTGATTATTATATGCCTGAGTGTATCTCTGTTTTGGTTGTAGGTGGCTGGAGTTCTGTTTGCCTCATATAGCAGAATATCATTTCCTTTTCCTATGTTTGGAAAGTTTTCCTTAATTATTTCTGTGAATAAAATTTGTAGTTCCATTGTTTGTACCCCAGCTTATACATTCACATTCTTAATTCTCAAGTTATAGATCCTGTTGTCATCTTCTAACCTTTGTATTGTTACTGTTTGCTTCCTTGTTATTTTTAAAAAGTTTTCCCTTTCATAATCCCACATTGCAAACCTGCCCTCCAGTTTGGATATCTATCATTTCTTTCAAGCAGATTTGCCATCTTTCCATAGAGTTTTAATTTCCTGGTAATCTCTTTGGATCTGCTTCATGTATTCTATATTTTGTTTATATTCTTCATCAAATGGTTCTCTCCTTTGTTTGAGTTCCTCCTTTCTTCCATCTGTGTCTGTTTGAGGAGTGCTTAGTATATCCTTTTTAATCTTCTTATATCTTGCTTTACTTGGCTAAATATTTCACTTTTGAACTCTCTATGAGGTCCTGAAGATATCTCTTTATGTCCACTGGTGCCATGTCTGATATTGCATGTTTGCTGTTCTTATTCTCCTTTGTATTTACCTGTCCTGGATCAATGTTCTCAGGGTTGGGACCTGGATACTTTTTGTTTTTGCTTCCTCTTCCCATCTTTTTTGTTTCTTCCAGGAGACCCCAGTTTCTTTCTTTTATGGTTACAATTCTTCTGAAGCATGCTGGCTAGGTGACCTTTCCCACTGTAGTATGCTAGTGAGTCACAAACAGGCACACTTTGTGCCTCTACTTCTAAGTCTGTTTCCATGTTCCTGTACATGATTGTGAACACAAGGGGCTTCATTGTTTGTGGTCTGCAGGGTCCAGTGCCCTTCTGGTGTCTGATGAGTGCTGAGGCTGCTGAAAGTTTCCAGGAGATGGAAGTGTCCCAGAGATACTGCACTGTGCAACATGCCCCTGGGGCCAAGCCTGCAGAGCTTATCTTATTGCTTTTTGAATCTCTCTCTGAGGGGAGGCAGAGACTGCACCAAGTCTGCTCCCAGAGGGGAGGAGTGACCTTAGAACTCAGAAACGTGCCAATCACATGATGTGCAATGGTAAAGTAGGATTTGAACAAGAACACAGGCCCCACAGCAGGGAAAGCAGATCTGGATTGCAGGTACATGGAAGAAGCATGCCCTCGCCATGCCCTGAAGAGCCCAGCCCCCCACTGCATCCCTCAGCATGAACTGCTCCATCATCAGGTTAGAAGGGGACACCAGGAAGCAGGACTTATCTTTATTTACCTTGTTTTCTGTGGCCACAGATGAAGACTTGGGTGGCTCTGCTGATGTGTATTATTATAATACTACAGGCCTCTCTGAAGGAGTCCAAGTCTGGGAATGATTTCTGAGACTAAAACTTTTACCACTTCTTGTGCTTTTTATGTTCTGCAAGAAAAGGCCTCAGTACAGTTTGTGAAAGTATCTATCCAAACCACTAGTTATTAGAGCTCCTTACTCACTGGCATATGAATAAAACTGAGCTACCAATGTTTTCCAGGATATTTACCACATTTCTGTATAACTGGAGGAGTTATGGCCTGGTTAAGAGGATTGTTATTTTGGTAGAGCTCACATGTCTTAACTGTCTGATGTATCATCTAAGAAAACCCCTTTCCTATGAGTAACTTTATGGTTATTTTGTGGGACTTTATCACTCCCAAAGTAAAAGGTTTGTTGTAAAGACAGTAATTTTCCATCAACTTGTACCAGAAAGGAACAATTTGCCAGCATCTGATTATTATCCTGATGGAGGAAATGACACCTGTTGGAGGGAATCCATTCTATTTCTGACTGGGAGTATTTGGGTGGAATATGATGAAGGGATCTTTCTTAGATCAAGGGGACTGAAAGGGAAACCCCCTTTATTGAGCTTTTTTTTCCAGATGCATCAGCCAGTTGATTACTTTAAGAAATTTTGCAAATTCCATTTTGGTATCCTCTACAGTGAGTTACCCCTACTTTGGAGATCATGTGTACAGATGATAAAAGTACATCTACTTCCTTATGGTACTTTATGGCAGATTCACTGGCTGTAAGGTAATTTCTTTATTTATGGATTTTATGTCGGCATGTAATACTAGGAAGTCATAATTTGAATCATCAGTTTAAATATTGACTTTCTGTCCTTACTGAGTTATCAAGCTCTTAGTTTATTGTTTATAACTATAAGAGCTATGAACTTTGTTAACTGGGCACTAGTCCCAGGCACAAGTGAGAAACTTTTAAGCATCTGATGTGGAATTCCTATTGCATATCGTAGCTTTCTTGTCCTGCTTTTAATAAATTATCTGCCATCACAGAAGGAAACAAATCAAAGTCAGTAAGGGATGTGTCTAACAAGTCTTCTCTAGGTGTGTACAAATGGTGAATTACTTGTTTGTGATCGTGTCTTTTAACCTCAATTACTTACTTTTCTATTAGAAAGATGTCAGGGTTTGAGGAAGAACCTGTCTTTATTTGAATGGCTGTCTGTCTGAGAAGTTGGCTGTCTGAGAATCATAGGCTCCCTTTGAAAGAAGGAAGTCCTGCCACATTGTGAGGTATACATATAGTGAAAATTTTGCCTAAACCAGCTTGAATGACTCTGGTTCCAGAAGAGCTACAGCAGCCACAGCTGTAAGACACAGATGCCAATCCTTTACTGTAGTCTTTAATTTATGACTCAGATACACGACAGGCTGTTGAGCAGGTCCTGGATCCTGAGTAAGCTCTCCCAAAGCATGCCCTGCCTTTCATCAACATACCGACTGAAATGGTTTCCTGTCAGTAGGATCAGAGCTGAGGCATTTAGAAGTGCTTATTTAAACTCCTAGAATGCAGTTTGAGGATCAGGTTACCAGGTAAAAATATGGTATCTGCTTTCTGAGCTTCTTTTATAAGCTGATGGAAGGGTCATGCAAGCTCACCATACATGCAACAAGAGCCTGTGATTCCCAGCAATGTCTTAGCTGTTTTAGGGTCTTGGCCTGTGGGAAGGACAGTCTTGATTTAATGGTTTCTTCCTCCAGCCTTCAGGTTCCCTCAGATATTCCAAAGCCAAAGTATTTTACCTCAAGGCTGAAGAGTTGTGCCTTAGACCTAGAGAAAATGGAGTAATTTTAAGAACTCAAGCAGAAAGAAAGAGAACATGAGTTTGTGACAGTGATTTTTGTATCATGACAAAAGATTGAAAGTGTAGCAATGGCAAACAGTAACTTGTGACAAATATTGTTATCTGTTGATAATGTTACTGAAAGTTCTATAATTTTTCCATTATAATGTGAGTGATATAATAAGGATATGACGAAAAGAACTGCACAGTATTACACACACTTAGTATCCTTGAAGTCTGAGATTAAATCCCAGCACCAAGATAAATAAATATAACTCAAAAAATACAAGCTGAGATTCAGCAATTTAATCTAATACTCAAAAGTAAGACTTAAATAGAAGAATCTCTTAACAAGGCAATGTTTGTGATTGACATGTAAATTGGCTAAGCACACTGGTGTGCAAACTTCTGTTCCGGATAGGTAGATAAGGTGCAGAATATGCTAACATTTTTCAGAGACAGTTGGAAATGGACACAATAAATGGCACACTTAGAAGTTCAGTGTCTTTTTAATAGGAGCCTAAAGTTTCCTAGATTCTGGAGATGTGTGATGAGATAAATTGATTTCAAAGTAGCCCAAGTGTGCGAATTTCCTGTGCAACCTTAAGTGACACATTGTTGTGAAATCTATTTTTTTCCATTTTTGACTCACTCTGAGGACAGTCTGTGAAGAACACACTGACATTTTCCTGGATTTCAGTCATTAAATCACACTGCAGCAGGTCTTCTTACATATATGACCAAGCCTTCTCACAAAAAGTTGCACAACTTCAGGCAAAAGGAGGTATGTGTAACTTTTCTCTCCTGTCTTTCTACTATTCTAACTCAGTGAGAGATGACAATTGATAGATGTGATTCAATTGAGAAGCAACTCATATAAAATAAAATCAAAGTAGAATGTGAGTACATTTCTTTTAAAAATTCAGGGGAAAAGTAATGAAATAAATACTTTGAATGATTTCTTATAGTATTTTGATTATTGCCTGTGAGCAATTAATGATTAACTTATTTCCATGTATTTGAATTTGTTACTTAACATAAATTAGAATAAAACCCATAAGCATAGCATAGCAAAGATGCTATACATATAGTTTATATATTGTAATCAATATTTTGTTGGTCTTTAAATAATAATAGATTGATGTATATTTAGTTCAGCAATTAGAAATTCTTAAAAAGAATTTTGTACAATGATCAAAAACAAACACAATTCTTGACTTGCTAACATTAAACAAGAAATAATGTTTATAAGATCAGAATTATCTAGATTACATAAAATGCTAAACTTAATTGTGGACAACCAACAGACTTCTAAAACTTGATCAAAACGTTTCAAAATATATAATTTCATACTGATATAAGATTACCTAATTTACTTTACACAGGTGAATCCAAAAACATAGAAACTATTACTAAAATAATTTAGATAAAATTTATTGAGAACTTAAAGTACCAACTTAATGGTTAATTCTGTACATGCATTATTTTCTGTACTTATTTTTGCACTAGAAGTGTAAACTAGGTTGTCAGATGGTAAATAAAATTTTAAAGGTCATTATAAATTTTGAAGCCAGAATTGATTCTAGATCTCTCATCACAGAACATTTACTAACATACACAATATCCTAACATTTTAATAACTTCTCAGAACTTCTGAATTATTCAAAAAAAATATCATTTAATATCTCTAATCCATTTGAATAAACAAATGCAATCTACTGGATAAAATAATGCACAAAACTAATATATACCTACTTTTCTGTTTACAGTATCTAGTTTTTAACTGTCCTTATATTTCAATGTTATAAAATTTAAGGACCTTTTTACATATATGTTAAAATATTTTTGATGTTAGAACATTCCTGTGGAAATTGGTTTTAACTTATTATAGATATCTTTGTTCATAAACATCTTTACTTATAATTCATTGGTTATTTTTAATTATCTAACCAATAGTATTGTGTCAAAAGCAGACTGTGCACTAAAATTACTGATTTTACTATATCACAACAGTCAGCTGTTGAGATGAGTAACCAGCAAGTGATGTACTCGGAACTGAATCTGAACAAGGACCCAAAGAAACAGCAAGGGAAACCCAAGGGTACCAAAAGCTCCATTTCAGAAAATGAGCAGGATATAACCTATGCAGAATTAGCCTTTCAGAGTGCTTCTCAGGAACACCGAGGGAATGACAAGCAGCACACCTGCAAAGGTACCACTTTTCTTCCATCCTCACTTTAACTGTCCTAGAATGAGCAGCGGGGTGCAGAGGTATGGGTAAAAAGCAGGATGCAGGCTCACATATTTTTAACTTGTAAGACAGGTACTTTAACTTGAGTTATGCTACTCTAATTTAAGGTACGAAGACTAATTGCTGAAGTAGTAAGTCTTTGACCAAGGACTCATGGAGCATGGTGTACACGGAAAATACAGTGGTATATTTCAGAGATATTGCAGTTGTGGATATGGGGTTGGCACTCAGGTTTTTATGTTGTTTCCCTGTGTGTATATTTTCTCTTGTATGCACATCTTTTTATCTGTTTTTTTTATTAGTACATGTTTCCAATGCATAATGATGACAATCTTTATGAGGAGTTAGTTACAAGGACATGATACATAATTCTTTTTTAACAAACTTCTCCTCCCCTGTTCCATCTCTCTTTTTATAATTTTATTTTATTAGTACACGTTCACAGTATGTGAAGTTTACATTTATCTTAGAGAATATGCCCAGGTATATAACATAACTTGATTCGGTTTTATTCCCCATTTTCTTTCCATTTACCCTCCTCCCTTTGTCTCTAGATTCCCTTTCCTCATTTCATTATTCTTTTTATCATTATTGTTATTAGCTATAGCTCACGGAATGCTTACATTCATTTGTAGGTATTTGGTACATACACGTGGCACATCTTGCATCTTTTAAACCCCTTCCCTTCCCCGCTTCCCTTCTAAATGGCTGCCTCCATCCTCGTTTCTCCTGGCTTCCATTTCTCTTCCTGTAGATTTCACATCATCTCCTCAGAAGCTTCTTGCAGCGACCCTGGAAACCACCTGCCTTATCTTAATGGTCACGGTGATAGTGATGGTGACAGTTGTAATTCCCTGTAAGTATATTTTTGAAAGACTGTACAAAAATGCTGCACGCTAGTGATTGGGAATGCCTCTGACGTCTCACAGTGTCAAAGAACACAGGTCTCATTTTAATATTTCTATTTGAACTGCAGATAGTTATTCTGAACTTGTCTAAAATATAAATAATAAAGGGTAGCAATCAGTCCTTGTTTTTAATTATATTTATATGTCAGGATTTCATAACTCAAGCATGTTATAGAAATGTGAAAAACCTTGAGGAATACAAATTAATTTTTCGTAATTAAAAGATTGTGATGTGCCCATTAGGCTTTTATTGGAATCATTTTCTCAAAGAGTTCATTGTTTTATTAAATTTCTTTTTAAAATTATTTTTATTCTACATTATTCTATAAACCATATAGATGTCAAAATAGGAATTAAAATTACTATGGTCTATTTAGATATTAATGTTTATAAGAATTACTTTATTCTTTCTAGCTTCTGTAATGCAGGAGCAGAACAAATCTTCCTCAGTAAGAACTACAAAAGGTACATTGTAAATTTCAAAGTTATTATATTTTCATAGAGATTTTATCTTTAGCTTAAACCATAAAAATTGATAATAGATTTCTGTGGGAAAAACAAGCTAGAAAATGGCCACTAAGTGTTCATAAATAAAGAATATAGGAGACTTTAAATTTTACTCAATACATATAAATACACATTTAAAATTATTATGCAATCTTTTGAGAATCAACTGAAACTTTCTACTTGTATAGTATAATGAGAGATAAATTTGCTACTCTAGAAAAGAAGTTTTGTATACTGATTTCAAGATGCTTGTAGAGTAAACATTTTTTAAAAAATTTATTTCAGCACATTAATTACAAGATAAGAGGCTCACCTTTTTTGTGCTTTAATGTATAAGCTTATGTTTTCTTGATATATACCAGCCCATAAGGGCATGTAGATATTTTATGCACATATACGTGGTTTTATAAATACAAACATGTAAACTTATTTTCAATTTTAAATTTCACCTTGTTTCTTGATAGAAGTCCACAACCTTTCTTCAGCATATCATTGTGGTCATTGTCCAAACGAGTGGCTAATGTTTTCAAACAATTGTTATTGTTTTGGAGTGGAAAAGAAAAATTGGACTGAGAGTTTGGCATCCTGCACTTCTAAGAAGTCTAACCTATTTTATATAGACGATGAGAAAGAAATGGTAAGATTTTAACTCTTTCAGTCAGTTAATTAACAGCTTTATTAATATATGTACAACTCATCCTTATTCTTACATTTTTTTCATTTAAAGGTCTATATAATATTTTATTGCTTGACTTCAAAATTTTATTTGTTTACTGCTCATGCACATTTAATTATTACCATATTTAGCTTTGCTTAGTTATTACTAGAAAGCCATGCTAATACAAAAGATTTTTTTCCTGATATAACTTTTGATATATAATTTTGCCACACATAAAGAAATCTAAACATCTCGTGATGGTTCAGACTGATCACAAAGTAAGTAGTTAGACTCACTAACGTCAGTTTACAGAGTACAACCCTGCAGCCGTGGGTGCCCTGGCCCTGTGTAACCTCATTCGTTCTTTTTCTCCTAACCCACCATTGTGACTTTTGCCTTTGTAAGTTAGTTTGACCTGGTTCTGAATTTTCTGTGAATGGAATCAGGCTATCTATATTTTTGCATCTTTTTCCGTTCATCCTTGTATGGTTTGGGGGTGATTCACTAGCACTTCAGTTTGCTCATTTTTAGAATGCAGCAGTTTCAGATCCACTGCACCTGTGATCTGGATGGAAAGAGTGAGTCACCTGTTCTCAGGGGCAAAGGGACTTCCTAGGTAGAGCATTTGTAGCTCTGGAATCCCGCTTTGTTGGAACTTCACTGTCCATCTTTGCCCTGTTTTCCCTTGAGGAAGAGAAACATTTCCACTGCAGCTTACTATTGACTGATCTCTTGAGGGATCACCCTTACCAGGGTTTTCTGCCCTGTCTGGTGCTGCTGGAGGGGTTGCTGTTACAGCAGAGGAGGACTAAGCTTAGAGAAGCCACTGATTATTCCCACGCTGCGTGCCTGCAGCCTGAAGGCCAACGTCTTTTTACTCTGCTGATGACAGACTTTAAGAAGCCCTAACAATCTAGCTCTCTAATCCTGGGCACCAAACTTGTTCACTTTTTCTTTCTAATTTTCAGAATTACCCTTTAGTTATGTCTTTCATTAATTTCTGGGTTTATGTTAGAAAAAGAAACAGGAAACTGTTGCTGCAGTTTTGTCTAAATCGTTAGTATTGCAATAATGCAGGCAGAAGGGGACAGGTTATTTAGCTAACGGTGTGATGCCCAGATTTCCATGTCACTTATTTCCTCAGTAGTAAGTGATAATTTTCTTCTAAGGTCCAAACTCTGAGAGACCTACTAGAAAAATACACTTTTTTTAATTACAGCATCTGGAGAGCTTAATACACGGTGTCTAGAAACTTGTAGAAGTCTTGCTGGGTTTGTTTTGCGAAATGAGCCATCATATTACATGAATCACCAGCAACTCATTAACATAAGAAAAAAGTGAATATTAAGAGTAAATATCTAGGAGTTTTCAATCGATCTTAAAAACAGTTGTGAAATTTTTAGTGGTGGAAAAGTTGTTTTTTACTTTAATGTGGTTTATATTGATTTTGTATGTTGAACATCAAAAATTATACAAAATAATACATTATTTTTTAAAATAATAAAAGCTGTCATACTGTTTATGTGCATGGAATTATTTGTTTCTCATAGAAATTTCTAAGCTTCCTCTCACATCCATCCTGGATTGGTGTCTCCCGTTCTGGCAGAGATCACCCATGGCTGTCGGTAAATGGCTCAGCATTCAATATGCAGTATGTTTTATTTTTTAAATGGTTGCTACATGTACAAGAAGAAATACAAAAAACCCCAAGAAAAATGTTATTATTAACTTATATGAAAGTGCAGAAATACATTACAATTTTGTAAAATATTAATATAAATATTAATGAATGATTTGTATTCCAAACACCAGCATTTAATATTATTATATGAAAAGTCATTATCTATTTAATATGTCATGAAAGTATATCACCTTTTTTAAACAGAAAAATGCTTTTACTTGATAGATCACTCCCCAAACACAACTAATTGGTGTATTTTTCGCCATTACAGAGTAAAGAACTCATCATCTAATGAATCCAACTGTGTTTGGTTAGCCTTATCTGGCTTTATGGCAGAAAATTGTGGATCATCACACACGTATAATTGCAAACATAAATTTTTGAATTAATATACCTGAATTTGGAGCCTGTCAAGTAATTTTCTATTTCACAAAATGGAAATTATATTATGATTATATGGGTCTTTAATTGAATCAGATGTGTTCTTCTAATAATAAACTTATTAAAAACTACTATTGAAATACAATATTTATACTACAAGGGAAGAATAGTACTTTTGTGTTTACTTCCTTTTGGTCAAAATATAAGCAGTCTCATTTCACTCCTACAAAACTATGGTCATCAAATATTTGTTAAAATTACTCAAGAATTAGAAGAATATTTATGAATCAACAAATATGTTTCACATACAGACTACTTTCAATGTCTATTTGTTCAATTTAACTGAGTGCAGTTTCTGTGCATTGTTTTAGAATATAACCATTCTTTGGAAAGCTAAAATTGACTCTCCTCTTCAAAAAGTTTCTAATCTCGGTAAAAAGATTTAATTCACTAGGCTTCCAAGGTTGTAATTTTTCTACACAATGACTAGTGAACTTAGAAGAAAACATATGTATGTGTTTTGGTTTTCTTTAGCTTGTTTGGTAATTCACCATTTTCAAAACATATCATTGACTACAAAAGGATCAGCCCAACACATCTATTTCCCATCCTAGGAAATCTCTCCCATGCATGTATTCTGTGAAGCTGAATTCCAGGCATCTTTATTGCATATGAAGAAACCACATTTCTTATCTTCTTATCAACATTTCTTATCTTTATCTTCAATAAAAATTGCTGGATACATAAAAAAATTGTAAGCACTTATTGTGATAATTTCTTTAATAGAATTTTAAAAATTTTGGGTTATTGACTTCATTTTTAGGAGGTTAGGTAATTTTTTTGAAATTGAAATATTTTATACTCAGTTTAAATATAGGTAAACAAGAACAAATATTAAAGCTTTACATATTTTTAATTAAAATTTAAATTCAAAGTGTCTACTGGGAAAATTTGACTAGTGGGCTCCCGCCTCACTAGTGCAGTGTTACATATTTATATTAATATATATGAGACTAGGAAAATATAATGCATTTGATGAAATGTTCATATGAATTTCAAAATACAAGTTTTCTGTATTGGTATGGAGTGTATATATCAGAATGTTTGTATGTATTTGTTCGTTTATCCAGTTTAAGTATTTCTATAGCCTTACTACGATATTTGCTTGTGTGATAAGTAACAATACAGAAGTGTCTAAATGTCTATTAATAATTATTTATTCTTTTGACTCTATGTGAAACTTGTATTTTGGGGTGTGAATACATTTTTCAAAAACACTGTCAGTAATTTGGATAATATATGTGCCATTATAAAATGTTTCTTCATTTCCAATGACAATTGTTTTTTTTAATGAGAGTATATCAACTATATTAGTCTTCCACTGGTGTGCAATGCACAGTGCATGTTTTTTCTCTCTTTAACTGTCATCTTTACGCTTATGTTAAGGGAATATCTCATTAAGGTAATGTAAAGATATTTTAAATATAGTTTATACTAATGAAACATTACTCCATATATTTTATATTTCTATACAGTATTAAATATACTGTTTATGTATTTATTTGTTCATATAGGTATATAAATAATTATTAATTATAATTTTCTGTAAGTATGTTAATTTAATATACTTTAAATATTCTTTTATTATTGTCCTGCATTCACTGCATGTATTGTTTACACATGCAATTTCTAATGAATTAGTGATTGTATCCTTTTTCAAATGCTGAAGAACATCTGAATATTTTCAAAGATTGCTTTTTCCCTGAATTCTTTTAGCACATTTTTTCAAATTTGAAACTTTGTCATTTACATTTTATCTATTCACTGTCTACATAGATATATCCACATAATTTCTCTTATTTTCCTTTTTGTGTATCCGAAGTTTTCATTGGGCATAATTATTTCATAAATAGAAGAGCATTACTTCCTTCATGTAGACTCAGCAGACAGCAATGTGTCTTTATTTTTCTTAATTCCTTGAAAGTGAATCTATTTGCATGTTATTAAAAGAATATTTTCTCTTAATAACTTTCAATTTATTCATCTGTCTGAAGGTATGGGAGTAGATATCATCTTCATTAGCCAAATTAATTACTACACTTTATATATGTAGCTTCTCTCTCTTTATATCATGAAGAGTAACTTCTAACTACTCATGCTTAGTAATTTTGGTTTATCTTTATGTCTTTACTATACATTTATCTGAGCATAGAGTTCATTAAACTTCCATGGCAGAAGAGTTAAAAATTCATATTATTACCCAGCTGTGGTGGTGCATGCCTGTAATCCCAGCACTCTGAAAGCTGAGGCAGGAAGTTACTGCAAGTTTGAAGCCAGCCTGGGCAATAAAGTGAGCTCAAGGCCAACCTGAACTGCACAGTGAGACCTGTCTCAAAAAGACAAAAAATCATATTATTATATATAACTATACATATGATAGGCAACATTGTTTAAATGAAACCATCAAAGTAGAGTAGTAGGTATAACTATCTTATTTAAATACAAGATATAAAGTAGTCGATCCCTGGTACCGATAAAAACGAAAAAGACAAAAAAAAAAAAAAGATATAAAGTAGAGTAACAGGTATAAATATCTTATTTAAATATAATATATCAGTGAATCTGAAGTTATTTAGCATTTTAAAGGATCATTTATTTGTTTTAATGCTGTAATGTACTTTAGAAAAAGATTATTAGCTTATGAAAATATATTAATGTTTAAATAGAGATAAATGAATTCTAATAAGTATGCATCATATATACACATATAAATATAATACAGTTATGTATTATTTATTACAGTAATAGATTCTGAGAAATGTATAATTATTTAGTTTTGTCGTTGTACAAACATTATAAACAACTGAGACAGCTATGAAGTCACTGAATAATAAATCCTTTTCTTTAATTGAACAATAAAATCTTACAGACTCATTGCTGAATATGTGATTCATGTTGACCAAAATGTCCTTGTGTTGTACATGACTACAGTTATCCAGCTTTATGTATTAAATGGATTTAAATTCCATTTTTGTAGATTTTAGAAAGCTAAAAATTTAGATTTCTCTGATCTCAATATTGTGGAGTTTGTAAACAAAGTGACTATCCCTTGGAGTGACATATAAGGAGTATTCCTGCATTTTTTCAATGCAAGACGAAGAAAAAAGAAAATAATTCTATTGGAAACAAACCAAATGAATTAAATTTGAAGTTTTGTTTTTCTTTAGGTTCATTTATCATTTTAGTTTGTTTTAGAAGCTTATTTTATCTACCCTGCTCATTTTTTCATGATATTCAAATTAAATTTTTTTTTCCTCATCATATAGCTTCTCTTGGACTTTGTCACTTACAAGAGGTATTCCTGTTAAATATAGACAACTGTGATTAAAGGGTTACATGACGAGCAATTTAGTGAGGGGTCATATAACATTTCAATCTCTAGCATAGTGACAGTTGAATATTATGTAATTTATTTTCCTGTCCAGAGACATTATTTTTGTCAGGGAAAAAATAACTTATTTAGAAAAACTAAATTACAAACCAGACATGATGGCACACACCTGTAATCACGACACTTCAGAAGCCAAAACAGCAAGATCACAGTTCACGCCCAGCCTGGAACACGGTGAAACAGGAGCAGGACAAACAGTAAAAGAACAGGAGCCTAGGGTTGCTAAAAGCTGCATTTCAGGAACGGAGCAGAAAATAACCTATGCAACACTGAACCTCCAAAATGATTCTCAGGATCTTCCAAGGAAATTGCAAGATCCACCAGTGTACAGGTAAAGCATTTAATCAATCCTCAATGTAACTGCTGCAGGACATGCTGTGGGATTGTGGGTTAAAAGCAGGGAAGGAGCACACATGATTTTCATGTGTTAAGATAACAGTTTAAAGTTGGGACATAGTGTTATAGTATAAAATTAACTAATTCATTGTTAAAAGTTCCAATCTGCTCAACAACTCATGAAGTAGTCCCTTTAGTAGAACTTTGATGGGATGGAAAATTAGTATTGCAGATGTGGTTGGAGTCCAAGTGATGATTTCCTGTGCATGTGGCTTTTCTTTTATGTACTTTTCAAACATTGAATTCTATCTTCTTTTCTCATTGTTTCCATTTCCTTCTCTGTGGACTTTGTCACCTCCAGAGAAGCTCATTGCTGGGATCCTGGGAATCATCTGCTTTGCTTCAATGGGCACAACTGTCAAGGTTCCACCTGGGGAGGGTCTGGTCAGCACCTTCTCTCCACAGGTGACACTTCCAAGTTCCTCTCTTGGTGAGGCTGGCCCCTTAAATAGCAGTTGAGACTAAAGTGGCAGTGTGTGGGAGGCAACTCTAGTGACTCCCCTTGAATGTAAAACAATTACTGTGACTTTGATTATTTGGAGACTTATTTTTTATACTGATATGTAGAGAGCTGGCTATGGTATTTCCTTCTCTCTTCAATTGGCTCTAAGCATTACAAATAAGGCTAGCCCAGGTGCTGGTGTATAATTTCTAAATCCAGCAGACAGTCTTGTTTCCTCACATTGTGTTCCCAGTTCGGGGATATGAGCACAGCAGGATGTTAGTGCCAGTCAGTTCTGAGAATGTCAACTGGGTAAGAGCCTCAAGGTAAAGAAGTTATGACTTCCCAGGGCACAAGATTTTACGTATCAAAAACCAAAGCAACAGCCTCCCAAAACAATTCTGTTGCTACCTTAATTAGATGATGTAAATTGATCCTTCTGCACATCACTTTCTCTCACCTTGCTAGCCAGCTCCAGTTACTCAGTAATTCAGTCATTCTCACTGTAACTCATTCCTCATCCACCCTCCTTCTTCACAAGATAAATTCTGGTAGAGGCCTAAGATCTGGGCCTTGTCTGCACATACTCAAAGGAACTGGATTTAGGATCCCTAGGCTGCCTTTAACTTGGAATATGCCTTGGTAATTTTTACTCTAGCTGTGCATTGCCTTAAAGGTAGGTAGATTGGAATTAACTTGCTGAGATTCCAATAACATCTCAATGGGATTACAAATACAACTTTTTGGATTGTGATGAAAACTAAAAAGAGGATTACAATACTTGGGTGACTGCACACAGTATTTGGGATTACAACAGCAAGGTCCCAATGGTTTGCAAGACTGGAGGTGGGGTTGTCATCTCAGGAACTAGCTAAGGAAGAGAAAACCATAGGGAGGAGAACGGGCCAGGCTCATGGGCTGTCCCCTTCATGGCAACATGCTCTGACAGGCACCCTGACATCTAATCTTTAGAAGAAGGCCTTGGCACTCTCTTACGACATAGAAGATCTTTCTACATGTAACATTAACCCTTTAGAATGCTGATCATGTCATTGCAAGCAAGAATTAGAGACTGAGGAGAGGAGTAAAGAAAGGAGAAATGCCTTTCCGGGACATGTGACCCTCAACTTCCGGTGAGACCTCACCTCCTAACAGCATATCAACCATTCCCCTGGTAATACAGTTACCTTCTAAAGGTCCTTTCTCTAAGACCCTGAGGCTTTGGGGGACACCCCAGTTCTTAACCATAGCACTGTTTATCACTAATTTTGTGAGAGTTTTATCATGAAAGCATGCACAGTTTTCTCAAGTGCTTTTATAACATCAGTTGAGATAATTATATTATTTTCTCCTTTTAGGGTGGCTCATTACTCTGGCGATTCTTCTATGTTGAACCATTCTTGTGTAAGTCTACTTGGTCATGATATATTATTCTTTAAATGTTCTCTTAAATTTTGTTTACGTGCTTACTGTTTAAAATTTGGTATCAATCAGTGTAGTGCTAATTATATAAAATGTGTTTGGAAGTGTAGGAACATATAAAGCAAATATTGATGAAATATGTCATATGCCAGAATTTAAAATGATTTATGTACCACTATAATACTATAGTATTCTGTATTTGCCTGTATTTCCATCTTTATCAGAGAGCTTACATACACATTTTATGATTATCCAGTGTCCTATTGTTCAAACTTGAAGAATTCTTGGCATTCCTTGGGGAGTACATCTAGAGGTGAATTTATTCAATTTTATTCACTTGAAAAAGTCTTAATGTCTCCATTTTTGTTCACAGCTTTGACAGGTATAAGATCCTTATTTAAAATTTTATTTCCATTCAGAACTTTAAATAGTTCACACTTTGTCTTTCTGGTATGAAAAGTTTGTTGTGAAAAATTCACTAATAATCTTATGGGAGGTCCCATCAATTCTCTCCAGAATTCTCTGTCTATGACTTGGTTAATCTAATTATAACATATCTCAGTTTATTTCCGGTTTTAGCTTAGCTGCATGTAATTGAGCTTCTTGACTTTCTGCATCCATTTCCTTTCTTTCATTTGAAAAATTTTCAGTCGGTATTTCTTTAAACAAAATTTTTTGATCCTTTATCTTTTTCTCCTGAATCTCTCATAATGCATATAGTTATCTTCTTTGAAGTGTTTCATAAGTTCTTTTTTTCCCATTGTTCAGCATCCTTCTTTTGATTTAATACTTCTGATTCAATAATTTCAAATCGACCTGTGTTGATTTTATGCTTGATCCAGTGTATTTTTCACACATGTAGTGAAATTTTCAATGAAGTTATTGTATTTTTCAATTCTAGAATTTGGTTTAGTTCTTTTATTTAAAAAAATCTCTGTTAAAAATTAAAGATGAGAATATTATTTTTCATTTTGTTCATGCATTAATTACCTGATATTTTTAGTTGTCTAACTGATTTACCTTGTTGTCTATTTTTAAATTATAATTTTGAAACTTTTATCAGGTAATTAATATGTCTTACAGTGTTGCTTTCGAGAAACTCATTTTGTTCTTTTCATTGTTTCCCTATTTCTAGTAGATTTTGCAACTTGTGCTGAGATTTGAGCATTTTAAAAGATAGCCATCCTCTCTCTTCTTTATATATTTGCTTTGTACAGGGAATATTTTTACCAATCAGCCCAGATATAAGTTCTGGGCATTCTGCGATGTCTTTTCTGCAGTTCAGGCCTCTGTTGAAGAGGCTAACTCTCCTTGAGCTTCTAAGCTCTTGCTCCCTCTTGTGGTTCTCTGTGTTACTGTTGTCTCTCTGATGCTGTCATAGTCTCTCATGCTTCCTTTGTTTTCCACAGCCCCCAGGGATCCAGCATAGATGGCTATTTTACTCATTTTTCTAAGTCATGCAAGATGAAGCAGCTTTTTCCTTAGAAAATATCCAAAAAACCTCATCAGCATCTGTCTCCCAAAACCCAGGACATTAAATATGTATCCCAGTCTTCTCTCTTTCTTTCAAGTGAAAAATTTGAAGCTGGAATTTTTCTTCCAATTATGTAGCCCTCGGGAGAGCAGAGACTATCACAGATAAATGAAGCAAACCTTCCTTGCTTTCTGGTTTGTTCTTGGCTTAGTACTTACCTGTATGCTGCTGTCTCTTACTGGGTTTGCAGTTTGTGTAAATGTAGTTTTGTTTTTACATAGTTGTTTCCATGGAGGGAACCACAACCTGTGTTTGGTATTCTATAGATGATGCTACTCCCATTAGCTACAAACGATGTATTTTTATTTTCTTCAAGAATCATGCAAGTATTTACTT